TGATGCAATCAAATTAAAAAATTATGTGCTCATAAATGAACTAGGAACAAATGTACAAAGTTGTTATGGCAACTGAAACACTGAAGTTAAAATTATGGATCCTAAATTCTTGCAAATAAAAGTAAATTAATTTCCAAGGTAATTGGAATTTCTTCTAAAAATTATTTATCACAGCATCATCTTTTATAGTTTCAACAGAATAGATTTGATGTCTTTCTAATGAAATATAGTTAATCAAGAGGAAGGTTTTAGTTGCTTATGAATTGCTATCATCTTGATATATCACTTCTAGTCATCAGTTACAGTTGCTGCACCATTCCAATTTTTTTCATTCATATGATTTTATTCATCATATATATTATATATTTTGCACCTGAGCAATTATATTGTGATTGCTGTTATGTATTGCTTTATCGTAGCTCATATTTTTGTCTAATCCATTGAATCCTACTTAATACCTGCCTTAGTTACTTTGAAAAATACTTCTTTTTTTATTCTAGTGATCTTTAGTAGTACATTTAAATGTGCTCATGTGAGGTGTCTGCAACACATGCTACTGCAGCAACAGCATTAATAATTTTTAAGACTTTTTTTTCCAAAGATTTTGCTAAAGAGGATGTGTGTTAAATGCTGCGTTCCTTGGCAAATTTACCCTGGGAATTACAAAGCTGTATTTCTGTATTTTTAATGGAGTTTGGGACACTTTCTTAATTCAGGGGATTTTATTTAAGCCAGAGAATGCTAGGAAAACTGGTGTGATTTCTGTGCTCTGTGGGAAGATGGTCTTCAGTCTGTAGGATCAGAACAGCCATAATGGAAATGAGTATTTGGGAGGTTTTGGTGGTTTCCTATTTTTTTTTTTTTCCAAGAAACTGAACCAACATGCAGAAATATTATTTCAGTCTTCTGCTAAAAATCCACAGAAGAGAATGTTACAGTTCATCTCTGAAACAGTGATTTTGCTGTTTGCACATATGGTTTGTACATAGCTGCCATATTATCCTAGTAGATTTTGCATAATTTCCAGAGTAATTTCTATAGTTTTTCTATCATTATAGGGTGTGGAACTGGGCAATATTTATCTAACCTCTGTCTATAATCCTGATATTTTCTATTTTCTCACTCTAATGGGGCAGAATAAACAACTTCAACATCTTGAATCATTACTTATACAGAATTCTAGAATCATAAAATCATTGAGGTCATTTGCTCATGCAGACCCACCCAGAACCAATCCCACAGAGCTATTCCCAGATGGCTTTTGAGTACCTCCAAGGGTGGAGACCCACAGCCTTTCTGGGCACCTGCAACAGTGCAGCCCCACAGCAGAAATGTTGATTCCTGGTGTTCAGAGAAGACTTCCTGTGTTTCATTTGGAGTCTGTTGCCTCTGGTCTTGTCACTGGGCACCACTGAAAACCTGTCTCCAATCCTAGCAAAGAATGTTCTTTGTACCTTCCCTTCAGGTATTTATAGACAGTTTTTGACAGTTTCCTCTGAGCCTTCTCTTCTTTGGGCTGAACAATCCCACTTCTCTTAACCTCTCCTCTTACGAGAGCTGCTCCAGCCCCTTCATCACCTTCACAGCTTTTTGTTGGACTCCCTCCAGTCATTCCATCTCTTGTACAGGGGAGCCCAGCATTGGACCCAGTACTTCACATGTAAACTCACCAGTACTGAGGAGAAGGAATTAGAGAATAATATGGCTGTATCTTTTACATTTATCCTTCTCTGTCTCTCTTGCCTTTCCTCCAGGTCTCCTTGAAGACAGCTCTTTACTCTATTACCAGAATCGGCAAACATCTTGTTGTGCTTCTCAGCTTTATCTATTCCAGTGAAAAACCCAATTCTTTCAATCATTCTTCATTGGTTACATTTTCTAAGCAGCTTATGAGTCATTTTGCCCCTCTTCAAATTCATTTTTAGTGGGTCTGTAAATATGCATATTAAATACAAATTTAGACACAATATTCTTCCAGAGGCTTTACCAGTGCCAAGTTTATCAAAATAATTACCTCCATGTCTTCTGTTTTTGAGTTCTGAATAAAACCTAGAAATAGTCTTTCTTATTTTGCAGGAAGACTGCATTCTTCTTTTAATTCCACAGAATTCCCCAAGTCTTTTATTTGATATTTGAAAGTTATTTTCCATTTTGGTTTCCACCTTTGATATGGGTTTGTGTTTCTTTTTTCCCAAGGAGTACTTTGGTTTCTTTTTTTCCCAATTAGTACTTTCTTCTTGGTTTTGGAGTATGTCAACATATTGATTTCTGAACATTGCTTCCATCAGTCAATGTCCACTCCCTTCCTTATGTGTTACCTGCAAAATTTTTTTCTTTCTTATTTGACCACAATTGTTAATGAAAATATAGATTTTGGACCCATCATATCTTTGTGATATCTCAAAATATTCTTTATTTGATAACTACCTTTTGAAAATGGATTCTTCTAATACAATATTTATTTCCATTCCTCTTCACAGGGATTTTATCTGCACCATTTTCTTTTTTACATTGAAACAATGTCAGGTAGAAATGTGTAACAGTTTTAACAAAGGTCAAAATGTGCTACATTTTTTTCTTTCCTTTATCCACTAAGCCAGTTACCCTGTAAAAGGAGAAAATTACATTAGTTTGACATGATTTGGTTTTGATAAATCCGTAGTAGCTGTTTGTTATCATTTTAATTATCTCCAAGGTGCTTAGAAGTATAATTTGTTTGATATCTCGTTGGATATCAAAATTAATTCTCTAACTCTCTGAGCTCTGTTTTGCTCTTTTATATCTCTGGTTCTATATACATACATAAATGTCTATGTGTGGTTGTGTGTGAGTATTTATATATATAAGCAGCATTTTTCCTTTGCCATAGTTATTTGGAATCACCCTCATGAGATTTCAAAGATCATTAATAGTAGTTCAGAGATTATGTTTTCAGGATTCTGTCATTATTCTGTTCTGCCTTGAACTCAAAACACCATCCCCTTTCTTTCACTTTCCTTGACTAATCTGCCTGAGATAGCTAACACTAATGGAGAAAATTTCATTTATTCTGTAGAAAATATTTTTTGAGGCAGGAGGGAAGCTTTAACAGGACTTGGCTACTTGCACTTGAATGTGTTTTTATGAATTAATTAATAAAAGAAATGTAGTAAATTTGTGAAGTTTTGTGATGTCTGAAACAGCAATCACTGAGGTAGGTAGTTGCATAAGCACATGGTGAAATCTGCCTTATGCTAGTACCTTATATGGAGAAACAAAGATTTTCAGAAAGGAGGTACAGGTATTTTGCATACAAAAGACACTTCATGTCTGTCAGCAAACCCAGTCATATTGAAGCAGGCATTGTGGAAAAAGCAAGAGACCACCTAAGTAGACACTTTATTGAGTATGTAACTACCAGTGAATAAGATTATATGGTGACAGCAGTTCTCAGGATCCAGCTGAACCAGAAAAAAGAACCAAACCCTTAGGCTCAGTGAGAGAAATGGGACCACACACACCTATGTGCACATACAGCCAGTGGACTGAGCCACATTTTTCAGTTTGTGTGTGCTGCTTCTACTTCTGAGCCGTAAGTACATTTAGAAGGAAAGGAATTAGATGATCCAAGACCTTTAATCTCAGAGTCTTATGAGAAAAGAGTAAGACATACAAACTAAATGCATATGTTTGTGTTTCATTAACTGTGCTGCTCGTGGTGTGGTTTCCTGTGAGACTGGGTTGTCCAGTCATCATAATGTGAGCAGTGTGAGCAATAACCTATTGATATCTACATCTCTCTGCTGCAGGAGCAGAAAAGACACCAGAAAGGAAAGGGGGAAATCACTGTACATCTTTAGTCTCTGTGAACTATTTTTCAGCCTTTTTGGTAGATTTCAGGAAACATGCTTTGTATATTGCCTCTGTGCTGTAGAGAATCAATCGCTTCTGTTCTACTCCAGTTCCAATCTGAACCTGGAATTCAGGACAAGAGAAATGACTGGGCACTGCAGAATGCTTTGAGTAAAACTGTACTGTTCCTACTGTGCCTGGATTTGGACAAAACAAAAGGAATTAATTACATTGGACAATGATACTGAAGCTTGGAATATGAACCCTGTGCACTATGAACTGCACAGAAATTGTTGGCTTCAGAATTAACCTAAAATTCTTTGGCAAGTAAGTCACATAAGCCTGATACAAACCACAAATACATTTTACTTTTGCCCAAAAAGAATCTTTATCCTTTCTAATTTGTTGTTGGATGTCATTCTGTTTTGGAAATAAAGATTCTGACTTAAAAAATGTTGTCTGCTTTGAAAGTGCAGCTTGCTTTTTAAAGTAATGAGATTTCCTTTTTTTTTCTTTTTTTTCTCCCCACAAAAATTGTAGTTTGTGGCTGTTTTTTGTTATACGTTGAACTATATGAAATGAAGAAGAGACTCTGAGTTCTCCAGCACAATGTGAAGATGTAGTGTATTCCTTAGAAATTAATAGACTATCATGATAATGCTGTGTGGTTAACAATAGCACATTGCAATCTGAAGACTGTAGAAGTTAACACAAAATCCCACAACAAAAACAACTGTAGAAATTGCAAATCATAAGGAATAAGTGGCAGGGTTGGTAACTGACTCTAGTGATCTGAGATTCTGCTCCCTGATCTGAGCTTCCTGTCAAAATCAGAGCTCTGTCTGTTTCACACAGCAAGATAATTGACAAAAATTTTTATTCCAAATTAGAAAATATTATTCCCTATTCTATTTCTGGATAGTTTGCTAGGGAAAAACCTTTAACATATGAATTATATCTCTTCATTGTAAATCTTCATACAATTGACAAATGTTTCCTAACTAAACTCATTGTACATAGAAGAGGAGTAAAAGTGGAAGAAAAAATTAACCTGGGACCTTTTAGCAGAGAACTATGACTGTGGATAGGAAAAGATAGGACTGTAATTTTGAATCTCAGCTGCATGGTATTTCTTTGCAGTAAGAGTTTCCTTTTGGTCTTTTGTTCAGAGTCTTTGGACATATCAGCTACCGTTCAGACTGGGAGCTGGTGAAGGTGGACTTCAGACCATCCTTCCCCAGGGAGTGCACTGATGAAGACTATGAGTCTTGGGAGCTCACAAATCTGCAGGTATTCTTGGTTTTATGTGAACTGACAAAACTTTTCCATAGCTTTCAGATAAATATAGAGTTGTGTGCTGAGAAAATGTTTCCAAATTGAATTTGGATGCTACACCCTCAGCTTAGTCTCCTTATGGTGATTTCACTGGAGTTTAAACGCAGAGAGGATTTTGTGTTCCCTTTGGCTGTGTGATCTGTGTCCCAAAAAAGGCAGAAGTATATCTGGGGCGCTGCCATAATAATAGGTGGTCCTGCTGGATTGAGAAGCATGTCCCATAAAGTGAAGTGTGTAATATTGATTGAAACAATTTCGACATGCAGTCGTGTTCTGCCAACTTCCTGACCACATACCATACTCATATATAAATTGCCATAAGTAAAGTCCATTCCAGAAGTAATTTAGGATCTCAGTGGACCAATCACATAACAGAGTCCAGTTGTTTTGGGCAATACCCTTTCTGCACTAATGCACTGAGGCTGTGCTAATCATGATGCTCTGGCCAAATCCTCTTTTCGGAAGCTAAATTCTCTCTGTATATACTGATTAAAGAGACCAGTATGTGGTGGGATTTTTTTATTAAATGGAACACATAATATTTATTCATAATCTTTATAATTTTTATGTTCTGCTTCTTCTACCAGGGTTGATTTATTTTTTGCATTCTACTCAGTGTTACTCCAGCTCTCATTTGCTAGTTGTCATGCCTAATTTTACACCTCTTGTTTGGGATTGCTGTGTGTCTACAAAGAATATGACACAGATCTAGCCTAAAGAGTAACAGTATCATTGGGTATTTGGCATTGAAATATCTTTCAGAAATTAGAAACTACTAAAATGACTTTGATAGAGTACTTGCAGCTGTTCAGTCACCAGCGCAGTGTTTATGGAGACAGTTCATTCTGTGTCCACAGGGTTGGTGATCAGGTGGACAGTCAATATGATGATTGAGAGAAATTCAGCTCTCTGCAGCCAGATGAAATTCTTAAATGGCCATTCTGAGCTTTGCACACAGGTTGGGCACTCATGAAACACGAATTGCACTTGCATTTTCATGTGCATCTTCAGATTTGTGTCCTGGAAATATAGCCTATGTTACAACTCTGTAATGACCTGTTAGTGGACAGCAGTGGATATAAGGGCTTTCTATGCATATATATCTGAGGATCAGAGGGTTGATAAGGTTGGCAGCAAGACCAGCCTTTCCCAGGACAACACAAGGTCTGTTTGTGGAGGTTCTGTTGCAGTAAGTCCAGTGCTTTGCTATTTAGGGTGATCGTTGCATCATGGGCCAGCAGAGAAGCTTTCGTAAGAGGAAGATTTCATCATGGTGCATTAAAGGGAAAAGTTTCACATCAGCTCTCACATCCAAAGTTTGTGAATGTGTGAACACTGATTTCTTATGGTGAGTCTGTCTGTGGGCCTTTTGGCTTATTTCTAGTAGAGTTTGAGATGGGTTTATTTTCCTCCTTTTGCCCCTGTTACTACATAGCCATGTATAAGCAAATAGGCAGCCTGTTATTGAATAACTGGTTTCTTTTACATTTGCATTTGTTTAAAAATGTTTCCATGTTTAAGTATTTGTTTCACCTGACTGAACAAATCCTGATTTTTTTTTCTATTGATCAAGACTTGAAAACTGACCATTGCATTAATTTTAAAGGCAAGCTTTAAAAAAAAAAAAAAAAAAGAAAATTAATGGTTGGTCTGAGTGTCAAAGGAAACCTTGAAAAAATCTCTTTTTACCAATTTTGCAGAACTGACAAAGTAATTGCAACAAGTTTTTCCCCCAAGTGTACACAGCTACCATTGAAATTAGAACAGAATTGGCTTCATCAACTTGTATGTTCATCTAGTAGAATAACACTGAAAAAATATATTGACTTTGAAAAATGTAGTCTCATTCACCCCAAAATGGATTGCTGAGTGAAGTGGGAATAGTTACACGTTCAGTGTTGGTGTTTTTCAGTGATTATGGGTTTGAGCGCTCTGCGCCTCTGAAGTTGGAGTCGAGCAAATGCTTTGCTGACTTTTGGTTTAACCCAGAAGCACCTCCTGAAGACTGTGTGTTGGGGCAGGCATACACCAGCAGCACTGGGTAAGCTGATTTTGCATTTCATGGGCTTGATGAGGCTTCTAGAGAGGGGGAGAATATTTCAACCAGCAGCCTCAAATGTCGTTTGAAAGAAATTTGCATTTAAATACTTAACTGGAGAGAGCTGGAGAGCGTCTTTACACAAGGACAAGTAGTGATAGGACAAGGGGAAATGGCCTTAAACTAAGGAGTGAAGGTTTGAATTAGATAATACGAAAAAATTCATTGCTGTGGGAGTGGTGAGACACTGGCACAGGTTGCCTATAGAAACTGTGGATTCCTCATCTCTGGAAGTGTTGAAGGCCAGGTTGGATGAGGCTTTGAGAAACCTGATCTAGTGGAAGGTGCCCCTGTCAATGACAGGGGGGTTGGAAAGAGATAATCTTTAACGTCTCTTCAACCCAAACCAGTCTATAATTCTATGAAGTGTAAGTAGGGCAAACTGTAAAAACTGAGAAATGGAAAATTTCTGATTCTGACTTAGACCATGAGCAGAAGCTTCTTTCAGCGATGAAAGAAAAATATTGCTTTGCATGTTCACAACAGTTTAAAAAACAAATCTATTTGAGAAGACGAGCTGTTTTTTTCAATTTTTTTTTTTTTTGTAATATTTTGTATCTATTATTGCACTTCTGATAGGAATGTTCATTCATAATCTTTTCTTTTAGCTAATTTCTTGAACTCAGAGTGATTTTCAGTGTGGATTCAATGATGCTCTGAGGAACTGGCAACATCTCACCGAATTTCAAGTTTCTCACTTCCATTAGGGCAAGGAGTTCTATAGAGAATAGATTCTTTTCCTGACCATATGGGACACTCAGAATCAAAGGAAAACTTCAGTAACTATAAACAATGCTGCATAGAATATACACTACAATGTAGTCTGACGTCTGTGCTGAGAATAACTTGCAGCTGGCATCTATTCTGGCTTATCATAACACCATCACAGTTGCTTGTGGAGATGAGAACCAAATGCTGAAATGTCCAATCTGGCAATTGAATCACAGTCTCTGTGTATATTTACCTTACAGAGGAAAATGCTGCCTTTTGGGTTGGGGATCACAGCTGTGATATACAGTGGGAATTCAAAAGAATGAAACATAACTCTGATTGTAAAGGATGTTTAAAAATATCATACCTGTGTGAAAGTGATCTGTAAATAATTACTGTACACATCCGACTATTGCATTATTAGCACTTTAAAAGTGTAAGTCCTTTCACTCTTTTATACTGTTATATTAAACAAATGCTTTAAGTGTTTTAAGAAACGAATAGATTTGGAAGCAGCAGTTAAGCAATTAGTTCTGGGTTAATGTAGAAACTGTTTGGTCTAATTTCTTTCCAATCTTTGGGATTTGAACCCAGATCTCTGGAGCATTGAAGACTTGGATGCTAGAAAAGGGGATAACAGAGAGGATAGCAGATTGCCTGGGACCCTGAGGGCTAGTCAGGCATGTTTCTCAGTTGGAAAACACAGACTCTTCCAATGCATGCAAGTGAAATTCTCATCCATGCTTTTTCTTCAGTAGGCTTCCCCTACTAAAGGCAATGAAAATACCCCCAGTGAAAGTACTTGCATTGTTAGTTGGCTTTGATAATCTGCAATCTTGTCTGTGAACCCAAGGAAAATGCAGTAGCCTCAATCACACATGCATTTGGTGCCTTTGCTGGAACTCTTTTGCTTACCTCCAATTCACTGTGCCCACTGTTTACTGTTTTTTCAGGTACAGGAAAGTTGTTTCTAATGTGTGTGAAGGTGGAGTAGACCTGCAGCAGAACTTGGCACACCATATGTGTCCACTGATTGCTCCCAAGGGACTTCAGATCAGCATCAGAGAAGAAAGTCTGGCTGTTAGGCCTGGGGAAGACATCACCTTCATTGTCCAACAAGAGCAGGTAGTAATAAACATTGGCTACATGGAACGTGAATCGCTGATTTTAGGGTTAGTTTCATTCCTACCTGTTTTGCTGCTGAATGAAGATTAATTTGTTCTTGAGACAAAGATTAACAACTTTCTAAATACTGAAACTTGATTTCAAGTGAGTAAGATAAGCCAGTAAACTCAGTGAACCTCCAAATTCTACCCGCAGAACAGGATTTGTCTCCTCAGCAGAAAAGGCACTGGTTTCTTGGAAAATCAGGGTAATATAGTCTTCTTGGACTGAAAATTTCTACTGTTGTATCAAAAAAGAACAAAAATTGAGAGAACATTTAATACTTGGGTTTAGGTGTTTTTGAGAATCAGCCTTTCAGAAAGGAATGAGGCAAAGCATTACAGAAGTCAGAAAATATCTCAGCATAAGAATATTTATTATATATTAGTTGTGTTGCCAAAGATATGGGGTTTTTTTTCTGTTTATTGAGACAAAATTCCCTAAGTCCTTGACCAACAGCGGTGAGTAGCTTTTGGATGAATTGTTTGCCATGGGTTTGCTTTTTCATGCTTGTTTTTTAGCATTAAGCTATAACTGCTCTGCTCAGGTTACCAGAGTATTGTAATCCTGGCTAACCCCACTGGTTTGCAAAAACTTGAAGAAAGTTCACACATTTTGGCAAACCTGTGCTGTATAAATCAAGCACTTGGGATTTATTTCTGTAATAGAATCAAGAAGGTTACGTGCAGAACACTGGGCTGCTTAATACTTTGCAGGCTCTGTGTCCCAGTGCGTGCAGTGCCCCACCAGTTTGTGTGGCAATTCCTGCTGCCTTCTCTTTTTAGAGTTTGTTTGGAAATGTTTATTGTAAGCCTAGAGCATTTGGTTACAATTTGGACTCTAATGATTTTGATTGGCAGTTTGACTTTCTTCCTACTGAAGCTTTCATGAATCTCTGTGGCAGTATGAAAAACATTTAAAATTATTCACAAATCTCCAGAAGTAAGGGATCTTGAAGAGAATCCCTTGCTACGTCTTTTGGTGAAGTCTTTGCTCCATACATCAGAAGAAATATAGCAGTTTGGTGCCCTCTATGGCTAAGAATAATATTTAAACTCAAGTGTCCAGAGCATTGCTTAGGACTTAATCTGTATGACAAAGTCTAATGAGAATTCATAACAATTACCAAGTTTAAGAATCAGCTCTACTACAACAAACCAAAGCATACTACTTCCTCTGGTGAACAAAATTAATTTGCTAGTTTCTGTGAATGAATGTTGTTAGGTGCAGGAATACCAGACAGCAGAGAGGAAAGGAAGCAGGCTTTTGCTACATTTGGGCAGTTTGCAACTGCCCTTAGAAATAATAATAACAACTAAATACACCATCATTATCATAATTTCCCCCAAATTTTGTTGGCTGAATATATGAATAAATAATGTCATGACAATCTTCTGTTTTTTATGGCAGTGAAAGCCCAAATTCCTTATAGATTTAGCTGCCTTTTCCCTTTGTCACTGTTTTGCTATTACTCCCTTCTCTGTCTTTACTGGTCAGGAAATAGAAATACCTTGGTGTTTTGAAGAAAGCACCCTCATCTTTACACTAGGGAAGTAATTAGAATAAAACATTAAGAGAACCTTCCTCTACTGTCTTTCAATGCTGGTTTCTGTCTCACCTGGAAAAAATATGCATGTACACTTGTAGCATTAGACAGAGTGAACAAGAATTGTATGCAAGCTAATGTCATCTAAAGAGATTCCACTTACTAACGCATTGCTGGCAAGGAGATATCTCTTCTGCTTTAAACTTTAATAACATATTATCTCCTCGGCAAAATTCTACTCTTCTGTTGTCAAAAGAAAGATGTTATTTGGGAAAAAACTATTCACAATGAAGAGGCTTTCACAGTCCTTTATGTGTCTTGAAATATAGTGCTTACGTATTTGATAATCCTACAGTTTCCTTATTATGGGTATTTTTTACATTATAAGCAATGTTGTTTCATGTGATAAAACATCGAAGAAAATCATCCACAGAAAAGAATAATAAAGGAGGAAATAATAGTATGTTTTCCTTCCTTCTGTAATGACAAAGTACTTAGATTCTAGGTATGACACGTCCTCTAAATTTCAGAGAATCATAGAAACATAGACTGACAGGTTGGAAGGGACCTCAAGGATCATCTGGTCCAACCTCTCTTGGAAAAAGCATAGGGCTGGGTAAGATGCCTGGCTCCTGTCCTGCTAAATCTTAGAAGTGTCCAGCTCTGGGTAACTCACTAGTTTTGTGGGGAGATGATTGCAATCACTGATCGTTGTCATTGTGAAAAGAATTACATTAGTGCTGCCTTTTAGGATTAAATTTTGAAATAAAGCAATTTCAGAGAGTGGCTTTTGGAGAAATGAAGTGATTTTTGAATACTTTAATGTCAATCCTTTTCTGCTCAGTGGCCTTTCATGTTGCTTGACCAGCAAGGAATTTTTTGTTTTTGAAATCAATATCCTTTTTCCACATCAAAGAGGCTTTTCTAGCCCTGCAGCCTGTCTGAATTGCAAGGCCAGGATGGCCATGATCTCTGGTAAGCAAGCAGGAGCATCCACACTGCTGGAGGTCAAGGAATCAGGGCCACTTGCTCAGGCTGTGCTGGCAGTAGTATTGAGAAAGTGCTGCTGCTCACAGCTAAAACCAATTTTCCTTTGACTGCATCCAAATGACCAGTCCATGTGGCACAGGCCTGATTTCTCTCTTGAGCAGCTATGCCATAACATGAGTGATGGGCATGTTTGTCCTATGACAGTGGTATCAGCCTTTTGGTACTTTAGGCCGGAATTTAGGAATAGTGTCACTTAAAGGAGAACTTAACAGCAGTATTATGAATTATATATTGCATGAGCTATTTGACATGACAGAATTATTTGACTGGACTTTTAAGCCATTTCCCAAACTCAGCTCAGTAATCTGCTTTATTAAGCATGCATCTAATTTTGCACTAGAGCATGTTAGTTCTTAGCATGCTGGTAGCTCAGTGTAATGCTCTGCAACTCTGTGTGAAGATCACAGCTTGGGTCTGAAAGGCCACGTGGTTGAGAGTAAGAAGGGGTGGCTGGAAAGTGCTGTGAAGAACATCTAAGCCAATTGATTTTACTTTATAACTGCAAAGGCTAGAAGCTTGTGTGATTAATAGTAAATTGCTAAAATTGCAGTCTTCAGTTCCTTACAATTACATGAGCATGGCTTTTGAACCTGGGGCTGCCCTGCACCATTTTGTCATATAATGTCCAGTTGCATTAAGAGAACAGTGATGGTTTCTGTGCCATACAACTTGATTAGTGGTCTGGGATATATAATTTTAAGGTAGGACCTTGCTCTGCAAACATGGTGTTTTCTCTATTAGTGCACACAGCGTCTGTTGCACTAATGTTATTGCCATGGCAGTAGTGGTGTTACTGCAGCTCTTGTAATTGGGTCAGGATGTCTGGCTGGGGCTGAAATGCTGTTGTGATTCTGTAGAAGGTTATGAACATGTGTTCTGTCTATTTTGGGTTGTGGCCATTTAAGATATTTTTGATGTGTTTTCCTTTTAGGGTGATGTATTGAGTACCAAATACCAGGTAGATCTTGGAGACGGCTTTAAGGCAATATACGTGAACCTGACGATGACCGGAGAGCCCATCCGTCACCGCTACGAGAATCCTGGGATTTACCGCGTGTCGGTGAAGGCTGAGAACGTGGCTGGGCACGATGAGGCCGTGGTCTTCGTCCAAGTCAGCTGTAAATCAGCTCTTTGGTTTTCTTTTTTGCCACTGTGTAAAAACCTCATGTCAGCTATGAAGTAGGAAGGAAAATTACTAGTCACAATTGGGAAAGACCGTATTTTTTTCAATATCCTCATGCAGTCTTGCAGTGTTGTATGTTGGTAATGCAGAGACTTGTAAACTTAATCCAGTACGAGGTCAGAATTGGCTTTGTTTGGATTTGACAGAAGGATGGTTTATTAATCTTTTAAATAACAAGCATGCCTCGGTATAAATTTCAGGTTTGATCCATCTTCCTGATTCAACACCCCTTGTCAGCCTTAGCAGCTAAAATTTTATTCTTCGAGCTATGTCTTTGTAGAGTTTCCAGGTGCAGTGTAAAGCAAGTTAAGAAACGTATTGGGAAACACGAGCTCTTGTGTGATTTTAAAAAATAGTCAAAATCTCTAAATCTAAATTTTAGGTAGTTAATTCTCACAGTTTCAAATGGTTCTTGGATATAACTTCAAATGTTTGCAGGCAGTATTACTTATACTTCTCCCCCTCTCTTAATTAAGACTGAAAAAAACCAATCAAACAGATATAAAATAAAGAATAGCACGGCCCAGGGAATATCATGCACCATTGCAAGCATAATGCACCTCAGTCATCTCATAACTGAAATGAAGAAGGAAAATCAAAAGTGGAACTGATTTCTCCTCTTCCTTTGAGATTCAAGACAGCTATTCCCTATTTTCAGATGCGTCAAAAATTCAGAAACAAGTAACATCAAAGGAAAAGATAACCCATCTTGCATTCTCCAGGTGTCTGTTTCCCTCCGTTGTGAGTGGTGTGTCTTCCATCATAATCCCAAAGCAACGGAAATCACTAGAGCCATATACCAGCCTGTGTACGGAGCCATCTGCCTTTTGTCAGCTTGTCTAGTGACTGCTGATATATTTTTGTACTTTTCTAGTCAGTGTCCTTGAGTTCAGAGTTTCCAGTTCTGCTTTGATTAGCAGACAAAGCCAAACACATTCATGCTAAAGACCAATCTCCTGTTAATATCAAGCAGAAAGAATCAGAATCAAATTTTACCTGTTTCATTATCTATTTCTGTGTTGTGTTTGTTTTTTAAATCATTCGACAACTCCAGAGAACTCAGATAAATTACTTAGAGTTTCACTGTTACTTTTTAGAAGCTTCTAGATGCTGAGAAGTGGAGAAGGCAAAGAAATAGTAGATCTGTACAGGCAATGAACAGGAAAAACTTTGTGTGACATTCTTCTCTCCAAGAATAACTTTTAACCCTTCAGAAAATGACAAGCAGTAGCAAGCCCTGATGGAAAGCAGAAGACTTTCTCAAAGTATGCTTTAAATATGGCCTGTGTTAGAATAAACAGTACAACTATAAGATGCTGATACTTTTTTATGCAGCAGATTGTTAAATTATGGAAAGCAGAGTTATTTTACACAAGTAAATGACTGGTGCATTAGGGGGACTTTGGTGCTAAAGTGCAGAGGCAGCAGGGCACTGAGGCAGATGTGAGCTCTTCCTGAGCCTGGATGCCCCTGGAGCCCCTGGATGCTGCACAGGGACTGGCAGACCCATGGAAGTGTGTTACACAGCCTGCTTGAGTAAATGCTTCACATGTGATTTGCTCTGTTTAATTTTTTTAGGTAAATTACAAGATTTGAGGAAATTAGTTGGCACTAATTAAACTGCAATTTCTACATTCCAGTGAAACACTGATAGCCATTAAGGGACATTTTTTACTGTGGAATGCCATGAAAGCAGGGGTCTCTGTAGAATCCTACTTCCAGGAGTCAACAGTCTCCAACTGATGCATTATTCCCAGGGACTTTTTTCAAAGACAAATGGTAGGGGAAATATTTTCACTTCTGCCAGGTTGCTATGGTATATTCTGTAAAGCAGGACAATTATAAGAAATTTGGCCTGCCATTCAAATCAGATTTTCTGATCCAGATTAAACAATCTACAAATTTCTAATGAACTGAGAGAAATTAGAAATTTCTCTTAGAAATTTCTAATTTCTGAGAGAAATTAGAAACTAGAATTAGCATAAATGTGAGTAGGCAACTGTAGAGGCCCAAGAACTCAGAAAAAAAAAGAACTAAAGAAGAACTGCATACATACATTAGTACATATGCTGCATGCATTTTGTTTTTCATGGAACCATGACCTGTGTAGTGTGGAACTTTGGAAACTACTGAAATTTTTACTTAGTTAAATAGAAATCATTAATTGTACGCACTTAAGGGTGCTATGAGGTTTGTTCAAATGCATTATGGAATTGTGTAACAGAGACAAGCAGAAGGATTTGCAGTAATTACTCTCAGCTCTTTAATATATGGAAACAGCAAAGCTGAAATTACAGTCATCATTCAAGTACCAAAAAACTTGGCCTCTAAAAATTTTGGAAAAGAAAGTAATCTTCTTCAGGAGCAAAACCATAACTCAAAGTCATCAGTTTCCTCTGTGAAAACACATTTATGGCAAAAGCCAAAGAGTTTCTCAGATCCTTCCAGAAGGAAAATCTATTTCTAGGAGGAAAAAATTTAATGAAATTCCTAACATTTCTGAATTTTCTTCAAGACACTGTCACCGAAGAAGCATTTTTACTCCTCTGGAAGCTACTGAAGAAATAATTTGTTAAAGCGCCCAACATTTCTTGAATTCATGTAGGTGATTGAAGAATTATTGGAGAAAATGCAGAGTAAAATAGAACCTTACATTCAAATGAAGCACCACACAGACTAGGTGAAGTGAGGTGGAAAAGGACTTTGGACAACTTGCTATCAGAAGTTCAGTCTGTTTAGTCAAAATGAAATTAGAAGTGAACAAGCAATGACTCAATTCCTGATACAAAATAAAAGAAATGTTTTAGACCAGTGTTAATTGCCATTAAGTTTGCACTGAGATGAAAAACCTTTGAATGAGTTAAAAAACATTTAGAATGGAACAGAAATGGATGGGTTAGTATTTATTCTATGTAATGAATTAATGTTGAGCTATACAGTGGTTTCATATCCCAGGTAGTTGGTGCAGGTGAAGTTAAGAAATTTTAGTTATCATGTTGTACTGTTAAAAAGCTTTTACCTTCAGACATTCTGATAAAGATATATTGGGAAACCTCTGAGGGAAAGATTTTCTTTCCACACAGTTATTGTACTATGAAACAGCACAACACTAATAAACATAACATAAGCAGATAAAACCATTGTAATGATGCATTTCTTTGAAACAAATAATAATGTTTATGGTTTTAGTAGTTCTGAGAGGAATAAACTTACTCTAAGGCACATTTTGGAGTCCAGAGGTTATATATTTTGATTTGCAAATAAATGCTCCCCTGATGTGCAGATCTATTTTAAAGCATGAATTAATGAGATTTTTTGTGTGAGCCTAACAGCTGATATTTTATAATGAAAATGAGTAGTCAGCAGCGTTTTCTGATTTTCCCTTAGCAATTTGAGATTTGTTAGATTTCTATTCATTTGATCTTTTGTTACTGAGTTTAAAAAAAGAAGAAAAATGCTGAGATTGCCTTTTCCAGTTTTTAACTGGAGTATTTGCTTATGTGTTCTTGAATTGGACATGAATGAAAAGAGTGGGCATGAGAGAAGTCCATCTTGCTGAACTGTCTTATTGCTGTAAGATTTTGTTTGGGGGGTTTTGGGATCATATGGGGGGATGTTTTTAGTTGAAATTATGTCCATAACTTAAAAAATGAATGTAAAAGAGGGAGGAAAGGAAGGAAGGAAAAATAAATTCAGGACCTTATGGTGAACAGGTGGGAGGCTTTTGGGGAAGGAGGTGTTAATAAATTATGGATTCTTGTTCAATGATATTTTTGGAAGAGTGTTAATAAATGTATGGATTCTTGCTCAATGATATTTTTGGAACTTTTTTCAGCTCCACTTCAGGCTCTAAATTTAGAAGTGGTTCCAGTTATTGGGAGAAACCAGGAGGTGAACCTGACAGCCATCATTCTGCCCAAGAACCCTAATTTGACAGTTTTCTACTGGTGGATAGGAAACAATCTTCAGGTACACAAATGGTTTTGATTATTTCAAGAGATTATTTCAATTTCTTTCCAATAAAGGTTGTCCCTTCCTTTCATTTTCTAAACTGTTTGCTTTGTGGGGAGGTAACAACAATTTCTTCTACTTCATTACCTGTGTGGGGAAAAAAAACTTCTAGAGGGGGATGGATTTGGGGTCAAAATTGGTGAATGATGAAACTTCGATTTATGCACTTCCAAGCTAATAACATGAGTGATGTAAATTGAAGTGCTGAACGAATATATATATATATATATATATATATATATATATATATATATATTGTGTATGTGTGTGTATATATATATATATGTGTGTATATATATATATATGTTGTTTGAGTTTTTTTCATTGTATAGATAAATGTTTTCAATGAGTCTGAAATAACTGTCATATCAAAAATAAATGTGTTATCTTAAAGGATATCAAAACACTGAGAGCACTCAAACAATTTAGTGTTATTCATTTGGGGATCAAAGTCTATATAAACATGACCTAGACCATTAAATATCCAAGTATTTCTATTGGGGAATATTTATTGTATAGCTGGGCTACTTTCTTTTAAGGTAATTTTTTCAATAACAGATAAGTAAGACATTTTCTTTGTGAGACAGACTAAGTGTGACAGAAGAATGCTTCAAATAAGTGCAGTGAACTTTCTTCTTGTGAATGTGCTGTCTACCCTAATCCCAGCCTGTATCTGCTCATTATTGTTGAATTTGCTATTGCAAGAAGAGGCACTGTGGGTCTTGTGCAGGGTTTTGTAATTCTTAAGGATGTGGTAAGGGAATCTCAGCTCCACCTTAGAGGTCACTGTGGGCTGGTGCTCTAAGCTGACAGCATTAATCCTTTTGACCCTGACATACCCTACATTTTTTGAGGCAAATGAGCTGCTTCATATAATCTTGTAGAGGTTGTTGAGTCTCCCTCAGACTCCATTAATTTTAGTGGGATCTGACTGAAAACCTAATACTTGACTGATTACTTTAAAAGAAATTTTCCTCATCTGGCTGCTATTCTGATTATATAGGATCCTTTTAGGGGATGAAAAATTCTATATTGAAAATTGTAATTGATCAATTTGATAAAATATTGACAATTTTATATTTGATGTGGATTTTTTTTTGTGATATTTTTAACAACAGTCTCTTCCATCACTGTTCTCATGGTTCTTGCTGAAGTTCTGTTTTCAATTGTTCTTTGTTTTTTTTAAAGCCACTGCTTACATTGGAGAGTTTTCTGGTGACAAAGTTTGCTGAGACAGGTGATGTCAGAGTTACAGTGCAAGTTTCCTGTGGGAGCTCTATGCTTCAGGACTCAAAAGTTGTCCATGTTTTTGGTGAGACATTAGTATTTTTGCTTGGTTTTGTTTCATATGTATGTTTATTGGACCTCTAAAACCAGCCCTACCACAAGTGAACCTATTATAAAATTAAATCTAATGCCAGATTTAATTGTTAAAATTAGAGGCATGAATAGTCATGAAATAACTCCACAAAGCTGACCAGTGGGATTCAATGGGAGGTTAACCTCAAACATTTTGTTTCCTTTACTTATTTTAAGTATTACTGTGGTTCCCAAATGCTATGTGTGTTTAAGTAGTATTTTGGCCTGTGACTAGAAAGTTTCCCAGAATTTGTAAGTACAATATTCTAAATTCCTCTGGGAAAAAAAAAAAAAAAAAAAAAAAAAATGCTCTCAGCATTGAAAACCATGTCAAATAATTGCCTTTCATCACAATATATCACTGTTACCTTGATGTTTATCTGAGATTCTGGATCAAATGTAGCTCTGCTGTAATTATTAAATAACCCTTCAGCTCTTGTTCCATACTGTGTTCTGGTCTGGCTTTTTTGTGTTTTATAATGTGGTGACAAGGCAGAATATGCTGTGGAAAATGCAGTGCTGGAAAATTATTTACGTCTGTATTCTTGCTGTCACATATGGGAATTGTGATAAGCATAAAAGCTTTTATTTTAATGCAGAGCTGAAAGCCTTCAGATATCATGCAACACAAGATGTGATACATCTCTATTGTCTGAAGAAGATTCTGTTATTTTTGCTTTTAGTATACTTACTAATTTAAAATAATGGCAAAACCTCCACTTATGCTAAATGAAGCTTTTATGAACCTTCTCCTTTTAAAAGATAAATGGATATAGTATTTAGGTTACTACTTATAAACGCATTAGTTTTTTAAGAAATCTTTAGAAGTATAACTGTCTTAGTGTGACTACTTCAATGGCTTTATCATTCCAGTGCTTCTTTTGCCAATCCTGATATCAGAAGCATGAAAGTACTGGCCACCAGGAAAATAAAGAAACTTTTGAAAAAGAAGGCCATGTTAAAATAAAATTCTGTTGGAAGTATTGGCAGGAAGCAGGTTTGACTTGTGCATTCCAGAGGTTCCCTATCCCTGCTTTGCATTAAGTTCCTCAGGTTTTCATCCAAGGGTCCTGTAGGGAGAAAGGGAAGATTTTCTGAGGATCATCCCATTTATAGTATTTCAGATATTTTAGACAGTATCCAGAGAAATATTGTGGGTGTACCTTTGTTTTTTTTTTTCTTCAAAGAGGGAAGTAGTTAGACTTTGTCATATAATCTCTGTTCTTATCTTCTCATCTTATCTTAATTTATGGAGTAACATATTCATTTTATACAGAAAACAGAAATGTCTAGTGGAAAAACCCCCACATGGTTATGATTCAGTGAGAACAAAATCCATTGGTACATTATCATTTCAAACAAAAGAAACCAATGACTTCAATGCTCCCTTATTGAGCTAGGGAAAAATTAATGGGAACATTATGAGCCCAGAGCATGTAGGTAAATCTGCTTTGTTTCCTTTTCTTCCTACTTTCTTTAGTCTTTGGGCACAATTTTGATGATGTTGATGAAAACACAGAAGGAAATTGAATGCCTGACAACAGAGAGCAGCAGGGGTCCTAGATACTGCAGTGCTGCACAGCAAAAAATGCCAAATAGAGACTTCTACCTTTTAGTTCTGTCAAACCCCTTTTGCAGTCTAGTTTACTTCTTGCTATTTCTTTTTGTTTTTCTAGATCATTTTCATGTTCTTCCTCTGAAGTTTACTAAGGACCTGGACATGTACAACCCCGACATACCGGAGTGGAGGGAAGACATTGGGCGGGTGGTGACGCGACTTCTTGCAAAGGTGCTCTTTCAGATTGATCGTAAAATGTTCCCTCGCCAATCGTAAAGCTTGAAGGTTAAGCTAATACCTTCTCATTTGGAAGGTTTTTTGAAATGGAGGCAGAGCAAAATAATAAAGTGAACCTCATGAGCCACATTTCATGCAAGTTTGAGCCTAGTGTCACTTTTAAGTGCAAGCTGTCGATGATGATATTGTAACACAGACAGTTTAGGTCTAACACAGCTTAATTGGCAATTAATGCTAAATATTGCTCTCTGGGATTAGGGATAGACATATTAGCAAACACTGCTGACTCTAAAGCAGGAAGAGTTAAGTAGCTTAAATGTGATAGATTTAGAAGCTAAGCAATGTGTAATATAACAGACATTATCTTTGTGTAAAAATAAAACAGAAAGAAAGAATTTCCTATGCTTGATTTGTAACTTTGAAAATTATGTATAATATATAGGCACAAAATTTGTTTTTCAGAACATGTTCACAAAAGAAATCTGGATTTGGAACATCTGAATCCTGTAGATTAAATCAAATACAAACTATGAAGTAGTGCTGTGGCATTAGATCACCTCATGGAAACTTTGGGCTTGAAACTTGGGGTCTTCAGGCAAACACCCTGCCAGGAACTGAGAGTGCACACACTGGCCTTCATGAGGGTAGTAGTATATACAAGATACAGCTTGATATTATTTATAAAAAATTTGAATTTTAAATCATTTTACTCTTCCTGGATTTGCAATCGTGCAAATCAGGTTCTAAACTTTTTAACTTTATAGAGTTTCCTGCTTTTTTATTTTTCTGAGATTCTTATCAAATGTCAAATTAATTCCTTACTTTTATCAATTTAAACTCATTCCATAATGAGTTCTACTACTGTCAGTCAAAAAATATTTTACTCCCCTATAACATACTCTTGCATTTTAGTAATTACTAAAACATTTGCCAGAGTATATGGACAATTTAATGGAGTTTCAGAATCTGTTTGGGGAAGGCCAAGGAAAGTGCCCAGGGTATGGTCACTAGAATTGTGTGGCTGCATTGTACAAACATGGAGAAATATGGGACTAAAAGTTAAATTAGCACAAAATATTTTACAAAGAGATGCACTTGACTTTCAGCAGGGAATGAAGGCATTCATTACAATTTCAGGAGCTGAATCTGAGTGTTCTTAGTCTCACGTTGAAGGACTTCTCTGTGTCCATTAAGCACTTTCCTAAGCAACCTTCAGAAGCTAAAGTTAGCTGCAATGAATATGCCCTTCTAAGTCTATGCTGTGTCTGAATGGCCCACAAAGGATCCTAAACCACTCAGGATTTTTTTTTTTTGTATATTATCTCAAAAGCGCTCAGCCATTGCAGGGTTTTGATAATACCTGAAAGCCTCTTCATTTTGGTTCTTTTCTTGATGCCACTGAATTACTTTAATGTGATAACGACACTTAGGTCTTCCAATATTCAAAGAGCAACTCACATTTCAGTACATTTAAGTTTAGTTTTGTTCAGGTTTCAGCTTCTAGTGGAATCTCTTTAAATATTAAAGATTGGAACAATGAAGTCTAAAAGCCATATGTGGAGTTACTTATGTATTTTATATAAAACACGAAGTGTGTCTTTGTTCTCTTCACAGGAGACCAGTATACCTGAAGAAACACTCATGACAGTTGTGAAACCTGGTCTGCCCACAGCTGCTGACTTGCATGTGCTACTACCAGCAAATCAACCAAAAAAGAAGAGAAGCATAACAAGTGATAAGGTAACCAGACCAATGCACATCTGCCTAGGACAGTCTTCATCCTATTTTGAAATAAGTGGCTGTACTCTCATATGAAATTATGAGGTGATCCCTGCCTATGTAAAGATCTCACTCCCATCAGACAAGATACATGTGAATGCTACAGTGGCTGTGTCTGCTATGTTTGACAGTGTACAGACCAGCATAATATACTTCTTTCTGATATTAGTGTATTTCTCAAGAATATTTAATATTGATCTATCTTTTAAACAGAAAAAGTAGTGATGCATGTCATTCTGTGAAGATCCAGTAGAGCAAAGTCCCTGCACTGTCTTCAGAAGGAAAGTAGATTTCAGGTCCAAACAAACCCAGAACCTTAGTCATTGACCCATAATGTAAAGAGCATTAAGGAAGTATTTTCTGCCCGTATAAGAAAATGACCTTTTCAATTGGTAAGAAGCAAATTTAGTGAACACAGGATTGAAAATCAGACATTAGTTTCTCCCTAGTTGTTTTCAAATCATATTTCCTCCATAGTAAAAGACTTCATGCTAGTTGAAAACCAGAAGACTGTTTGGCACTTACAATGTATTATATTTGTCCTTTTGCTGTGATAGAGAAGAAACATATCCCAGCTCTGTGCCTGTACCTTGCAGTTCATGTCCTGCCAGTTACAAAGAATCAGTGTAAAGTATCCTTAAATTTGAAGGGCATTTTACAGCTTTTTAAGACAAGGTCATGGTCTCCAAAAAGCAGAAGAGGTAGGTAAGGCAAAGCTCTTCATATTGACATAAACCAAATAGATTGTGTTAGGAGTTCATGAGATATACTTTGGAAGGTCCAAAGAAGTATGCTGAAGTTGTCCAAGTACTTGAACAGGTGTCTATCATTAAAATGTGTGTGTGCACAAAGTTTTCTACTTTTTTTGGCAGAAACCCTTACTGTTCTCCCATGTAATCACACTGAGAATTCCTGGAAGTCTGAATTCCTGATTATGTTGCAGGAAATAGTTAATTTTAGCAGGTTGTTTCTTTTTTAGAGACCTATTCATGAACTAAGCCTTCCAGCCAGGAGAATATTACAACTTCAAAATTATTTGAAATTTTACATTTCTTAAAGAAGCAAGGTGTAGCTTCTAAAGGAAATTCCTTATTCTGAGCCTGTGGGGAATGGACATGTTCAATAATTTAAGGAAACTAATGGTGATAGATTATTTTGGTTGTACAAACGTTTTACTTCAGTGCAAAGTGTTATGCATATTAGTTGCCTTTAAATCTCAATTTCTACATTAGTGCTGTGCTTCAAGGCAGCTTAGAGTATCAGTTAAAATCAATGCTGTCTCGAGGTTTTTCTTGTGTTTGTATATGAAACATCACGTGAGTTACTTTAAAGCATAAAGAGGAGCAATCCCACACAGCAAATGATTTGGAAAAGCTTCCATTCAGCGGGGCTCTAGGGATGTCCTGGTAGTGTAACAGGACACAGTTCTGTAATTGGCTCTCTAAGACCTTGCAAAGGTCTTCTGGAGCTAGAGGAGTACAGGAAGAGGAAAGTAATTGTATAATCTGGAGAATATGTGTACATTTATGACATTGTTAGGATGAACCAGGTCAGACCCATGGCTGGAGCAGGAATAAGGGAGACAGGAGCAATTACAGCAGTCTGCTGTGCTGTGATAATAAGTCAGGTACACCAGTCTCACATCTCAATACCAATTGTTTTGTAGAGTACAATGCTGTAGAGATGTAAAGCCAGTCCTCTTGTGACAGCAGCCTACATTTCTGGTTTTATATTATTGCTAATGGACATTGTTTTTGCCATTGATATGTGCATATAAATTTATCGTTTTAGACTTCAAAGGCAAAAATTTTGATAAAATGTGTTATATCAGAATCAACTGTGACTTGAGAAATATCCTGAAAATATACCCTATATAAATAAACTTAGAAGCCATAGCTTCTGGTAAGTCAAAAGGAAAATACTCATGTTGTCATATGTTTAAAGATTCTTTACATTCCCTTCTGTTACTGGAAGAGAATCTTGAAGATTTTTAATCATGAATCAGTGGAAAGATGTGCTTTGTCTCCTGCTCATGCCAGTTCTCTAAGTCAGTGTTGTGACACTTTAGTGAGGACTCAGCAATGCAGAATGATTTCTGCACATTTGAAGGAGGTGGTCCTGACACCTTTAACTTAGACATAGTTATAAAATGTCTTTTTTTAAAGAGAACCTCTTTGTTCTTGGTTGAAAACCTTTTCGATTTGGGAATGTTACATTATTTCAGAAAGATTAAAGGCAATAATTTCTTGCTCAGGCCGTGAACAGCTGCTTGCTGGATTTTTTATTGGTGCTTTACATGGAGAGTTGGGATGTGATACTGTTTATGAGGTTAGTCATGTAAAATATGAATCATTATTGATGAAAGTAGCCGTCAATAACAATGATGGTAAGTAAGCTGTCAGTGCAGTAGGAGGAGCCCTTTGGAATATTCTGAAATTTTATTCCACTCTGATAAAGCCCTTTTTGTTTCAAATACATGCAGGGAGAAATAAAAGCTGACTGTGATTTAACCTGCTTTCAAGAACAGAGAAATTTCAAAAGTATTCCATTCTAATTATTGACTCCAAAGAAGACTTGGTTGCTTAATTTATGCACATCTACTGCATGTCTAATGTCAGGTGGGATGAGTCCAGTTGAAAGAGTCAATTAAAATGTAATTAAACTATGATTTGGAAGGCAGGGGCTCTGAGGATGATTTTGATCCAGACAAACTACTTCACAAAAATTCCCAGTGAGTTGCTTTGGCAAAAAGGGAAAGTCGGAACCCAAGACGTAGGAGTGGGTAAGAGTTTGAATAGTATCATTTTTTTCATTCTTTTACATTCTTATAATGCAGGAGTCATTGTGTTCACATGTTCAAATATTGTCATTGTAAAGGACATAGGAAAAGAAGATGGAAAATTCAAATGCTGATATATGAACCTTAAGAAGTCTAGAAATGAGCTCAATAAATACCTTGGGGCAGAAAAAAAAACCAACCCACAAGCACTGAAAAAAACATCCATCTATCAGTGAAATAAATAAGCCAGAACCTTTAGCTGGATGCACATGAGATTTAAATTTTTGACCTGAACACATGTTGTTCATATAGATTTGGATACAAATCCAGCAGTGGGGAATTAAATAACAAACAAGTCTTAATTACTTAAGCAAAAGCCACACCAAATGCTAGGTTCTTTATGAACCTGATGGGAAAACATGAGGAATCAAAAGTTATGGAGCTCAGAAATTTCATTTACTGTCTGTAAGTCAGACTAACCTAAAGTAGTCGTCTCTGGCACTATACACCATGAACTCATGAATGGACCTGGATTTATACAAAGAAACTTTATACATTGATAGCAGCATCACTTTAAAGCCTCCTAATCCTAAGGAGGCTCCTAACTCCTAAGTGGAGTTGTCATATCCATTTTCTTTTCAGGCTTTGGGCAGCAAGATAAATACTTAGGAGCTGTCTGCTGTAATTGTCTTGTGAAATAACTGAAGCCATGCTCACTTCACCCTTACGTTGAGTCATTCCCCCTTAAAAAAAAATTTAATAAAGTCAGTGGAATAGCTTCAGAAGTTAGATATTCCTCAAAAAGAATGATGATATTTGAACTTTTGTATAGTGTCTGTCCATAATATGAGAGGGACTACAGGGATTTTTATCCATTATACTTCAAAAGCTTGTCAAAGATGAGAACCATAATTGATAATATCGTAGAAGGAGTTACTTGTGAAGGTTTCATGGATATAAAGTAGATTTCTAATTTGGCATCCTCTGGGAAGTCGTGTCCCAAATTATAAAGCATAGAGTATAAAACTAGCTTTGATCTTTTAGAAAATTGACCATGTTGAAGACACAAGCAAGTAGAAAGTATAATTCAGACAATTTGTCATCTGGGGTTAGGATGTGAGGGTATATTTTATGGTTCTGCTCCATAAGAGTATGAGAGACCATATTTCACTATGCTTTATTCACTGGAGGAAAATGAGAGGAATACTGATTTTTTTTTTTCCACATGGATGAATGTATATATTTCTATGGAGTATTGTTAAAAATTAGCTATAAACGGAATTTATTCCATTATAGGTAAGGCCGGTAAGGTAAATTATGACATGCAGTTCATGATTAAATAGTAGTTAATTTTCATGGCAAGAAATCCAAATGATATCACAGGTTTTCTTCTGATAGGTTAGAATAATGGGGGCTTTTTAATATGGATTATGCATTGTGTGAGTTATGACCCAGGTAAACCCAATAGTGTGTGCAAATTGCTTGCTGTCTGTCTCATACTGGGTAAATGTAAAGACTTGGGTAATCAAAAAGAAAGATTTGGCTATAAAATGGTGTCATTTTCAGCTTTTACGTCTTATGGAGTTTTGCTTGATTTTTAAATATTGAATTTCTTTTAGATTTCAGCTCATCACTGACAAGTGCTTTCACCATTTAAAGAACCAGAGGTTTTCCTTTTTAAAACATTGTGTCTCAAAGTGGAACAGAGCATAAGACATCTGACATTCTCTCTGTTGTATTTTCAGAGAATAGCAGCTATAAAGCAGGCCCTGAATGCACACAACATCAGTTTCTTCCTGAGGGGAGGATACTGGGTCTTAGTGACTTTAGCTGACTCCAGTTCAGGTAAATATATAACAAAAACTATCAATAGACCAACTTTCAGATGCCTATTCAAGTTCTAATAATTTAAGGAGAAAATCTTGATATCAATATGTATGTGTACATATAACACATATGTATATGTTTACTTAGTATTTGTTACATGTAAATAAACACATATGCATATATTATTATATCTGTTTATGTAGGTACATACACGTGTATATGTATACATTTTCATTTAGTCATTATTAACAATCACAACCAAACAATTTTTTTTGTTGATGTTTCCATTTTTTCACACCTCGTGATATGTATCACATGCTTCTTGCTTTTTCTGTGTAACCCAACATAAATTAAATACCTCCATTGTACAAAATAGTGCTCTGAAGGAAGAGCCAACCAGGCTTCAAAAGCTCGGCTGGTGATCTAAAAGCACTTTAGGTTGCACTGGCTGCTAAAGAAAGCAGAACTGCTTTGCCCTGTCAGCCATTAACTCTGCTGCTGTGACTAGATATGTCTAACACAAGCCTTGCTGCATCTCTGCCATGTGTCTCTGAGCTTCTGATCAACTAATGAGGAGGTTGCTGTAGGGTCTCCACATTGCTAATCCTGTCCTGGGATAAGTAAAGTGTTTTTCTCTGTTTAAAACAGAGGGCAGGAGCAGGGAGAGTTGTGTGCAATTCCTGCCTCCCTAGATTCATTGTTGATGGTTGAAGAGAGTATGTGTGTATTTTAAACAGAGAGATGTTAAAATGATGTTTTAACCAGAAAGTCCAGCTTTGACTTGAATATTTTATGAGAATATTCTGTAACTTTTGTTTGTGTTTGTTTGTTGTTCAGAGACTTAGTTTCTCCATCTCTGAAATTAATACAGCCCTGCTTTTACAAAGCATGTATTTAGGAGGTGTGATCATTCACTATGATAACTTTATAGTCCCTCAAAAAAAACCCAAACGACCACTGAGTATGCAAATAATTAAATCTTCTGGATCTTGGATTGTGCTGTTTGTTGCTTTCTATTTTTTTAAATGGTTCCGCTGTCCTTCAGTAACAAGTCACCAACTAATTCTGTGGTTTTGCCTCTCTGAAGAAGCCACATGGGGTTAAACAAAGAGGTTGCAAAAACAACAACCAATGTTTTTGACCTGACAATTAAATAGAAAAGAATGCTCAAGAATGTGAATGATGTGGAAGGGAACATGCAAAAATGTTCTTTTATTCTGTATTTCAGACTCTCAGAGGATTGGAGGAGGCAGTGGCTACTGGGCTATTGTGGTTCTCTTTGTTATTTGTCTAGTTGCAGTCGGGGCTTTCATCCTCTACAAATTCAAAAGGCAAGTAAAGCTTAATCAATAGAAGCATTTTATTAATTAGATTTATCCATGGATTAGAAAGGCAGAGTTTGTTATTTATAAGGAAGATTTCTTGAAGAATTGCAAGAAGTACACCACTTTGAAAGTCATATTTTTCTGAACTTTTCAGACATCAAGGTACTGCACTGATGCTTGTTTTACTTGCTGTGTTCCCAGATAAATATCAACAATATGGGAACCATGGAGAGTTTGATCAGTTTGTCTAAATAATACCATCAAGAATCCGAGTTGGACGAAAATATTATTCCTGATTAATTCCCTTCTCATTTCTCCTAACAGTTATGAATAAGCTAAAACTATCGGAATTTAGGGATAAAACTAGGAATCTGCATCTGCAATGCTGATTTGCTTAAAAAAGTGATTTTATCTAAGCATGGAATGCTCTGGGGCTTCTCTTTGTGCACATTACATTTTAATTGCTGAGGCAATGCCATGGAGAATGACTGACAGAAAGAAATTAGCATTAGCTTGGCACTAGAGTGTGTGGAGGGAAGAAATGTTTCTGCAAGCGGCCCTTGTGTGGAGTATGTTCTCAAAAATGAGCAAGGCCAGCCTTGGGCAGTCCGGTATCTCTTTAGTATGCAATTTATTTTAATCCAAGCTGCTGTGCAATTTAACTCATTTGTTCTTGTTCATGGGGCAGTGTTGTCATTGTCTATGCTACTGGTATTTCTTTATCTCTGGGGCATTCAGAAGCTGTTGGGTTTGAGCATAATGGAAGCTAGCCTTCATCATCATCATCATCATCATCATCATCATCATCATCATCATCATCATCATCATCTTCCATTGTCCTTCCTCAGTGAGGATTCATACTGATTTGCCTCATTTTTTAAGGGGTGATTTTTATTTAAAATAAATATATGTTTATAGAACTAGTAGCAGCATTAAGTTTGTGACAGTGGTAAATTAAGCTAGCATTAAGTATGAGATTGTTTAGCAAAAATATTTTTATGTCAATAGAGAAAAACCCCTTTTTCTTCAAGAACCTAAGTGTTTTAGAGCTCATAGTGACTGATTGCTTTAAAGGATAAAGCACAGAATACTGTATCAGACTGTCTACAATGGAATAAAAATCCATTTTGCTCTTTTAGGTGCCTGAAGCAAGGAAAAAACATAAAAATGGTTGATGTGATGTAATTATATTATTTCAATAGCAATACAATGGAGGATTTTCTGTTTGTGTTTCGATCATAAAACTTCCTTGTGATATCTTTTAAAGGCTTTCTGATTTATATCTTCTATTAGCTCTTAAATGAGAGCAATTAAATAACAGTCAGAATTACGGCATGGTAGAAGAAGTATAAAATATTCAAGAAAGGAATAGAAGCATATTCTTCCTTGAGTTACTTCTAAAATGCCCAGTGAACTATTGCTTTATAAGTAGAGCTTTTATTAAGGAGGAAAATACAGTACAATTTCTAAATTGTGAGCTTTAATGTCTCTTGCACTTCTGTATATAATTCGTGAAAATCATTTGCATTTACATTTGGGGGCTGGGGGTTATTTAGATGCAAGTGAGGACTATTGTGAGATATATTCAAAAGTTTGCCAGTAGCCTAAAAACTGCTGTTGGCATTGATGAATGACCATGCAGTATTGTTCAATTTTAGTCTGTATCTTATCTGTTTCTGAGATATTTGAAAGAATCCTTTTTAAATATTACTGCTAGGCTTTTCAAAATTGACAATTTTTTTGTTGCATCCTTCATTTGCAATTTCTTCCTCAAAGAATATTGATCACCTAATCAGTGCTATGTTTCAAAAATCATATGAATGATTTTTGAACGCTTTTTCCTCATGGGTTCCCTATGAACTCCTGTCCCACCAAAATATTTAATCCTTTTTAAAAAATCTTTCCTGTGTTTATGGAGATGGTTGGTGCACTGCTGGATCCCCATGGAGTATTTATTGGAAGTACAGTCCCTTTAAAGTCAGTACAGTGAGTACATAGTTTACAAACTGGCCCACAGGGACTGAGGCTATGAAATGAGTGCCCTTTATAGATATAGAAGTTACAAGTTATAATAGATAAAGGAGACTTTTTGCTATTATATGTTTGGGTATTAAAAATTAATTTGCTGAAAGAATGCCATAGGCAATAAAATGTTCAATTTAGGTGATAATTTCAGAATTACTGTGGCCTACAGTAACTCAGATAACTCGAGTAAATAAAAATATTATTTAATTCCACAGAGAATTTACAGATGTGTAAAATGTTGAAAGGATAATACTGTCCATAATTATGATATATGATCTACAAACCTAAGGAGGAGATGGAAGACATATAGTAGTGCCTTCCCTTCATTCATGTAGATTAATAGAAGGGTTAAAACTCTTTTTAACTCTTTTTTCCCTACCTCAGTGAAATATTTTTTTCATCCTAGTTTTATCACTACAGTGCTTGCATCTACAGGACCTGCAGTTAGCATTGGAGCACATGCAAAGCAGGTGATTTGCTCGAGATTGCATGAACATGTCTTGGCCTGCTTTTTCTCTTTCTCTCTCTTTGCTGGCTCAAAGTTAAGTATGATACCTGCAAAGATGCAAAATGGAAAAACTGTCTTGCAAAATAAGATAATAACTGGATTGGCAGGGAGGTTACAGCTTCATACACAAAAGCACGTCATCTATTTGCAATGACAGAATTGAAGACTTGTGATGAAAAAAGGAGAGAAAATCGCAGGCTTTTGTGTAGACCTACGGCTTTAATAGAAAATGGCAAAACACGCCCAAACTACCCCAAGGTTTCTGAGTGCTGAAACATCTTGTCCCCAAGCACGATCTCCTGCCCAGATTTTTCCTGAAGTCTATAATTTTATGATCTGCTGGAAAACCAGAGGCGTCATGGCTGTCTGTTCTAATATACCCTAATCCCAAATACTTAAGCACTGACTAGGAAGACTGCTGCCCTCTGTTTTTACATGCTGTAAAATTGCAAGTGTTTGTCATTTCATGTCCCCATTCCTGAAATTCATGTACCCCTCACTTTATCTGATGGTTTATTTGTGCATCCCACCACTTCCTGAAAAACTGGTGCTGGAGTCCCCAGAGCTCATGAAGTAACTCCTGGCAATCCCAAGAGTGGTTCATTGTTTTAAACAAAGGAGAAAAAAAAGAAGAAGCCAAAATATTTTGAGAAAACACAGGGGTTTGATCCTTTGTGATCAGAACAGATAAAGACTTCAGATTAGGGCTATTTTTACTGCGTATATGGCAAGTAAATTTTAAATGATAAATGTGACGGGTTTTTAAAAACTAATTGCAATGATGTTCAGCAAATGAGCTGTTTGGTTTATCTGAGCTTTTGGTTTAGATAGTTTAGGGGAGGAATTTTGAGCATGTCAACAAGGAGCAAAGGGGTCATTCCTTGCAGGTGAACTAACCATGGCTGTGCCGGAGGAACAGCACTGTCAGCAGGTTTGGGTGGTGGGCAAGCCATGAGTGAAGTGCCTTTGTCCTGCTCTGCCCTGTTCTGCTCTGCTCTGCTCTCCTGACTATGGAAAGCACCACAGAGCAGGTGCCTCAAGCAAACAACATGTCTGAGGCTCGATACTCACTAGTATGCTCCAGTTGTTCCAGCATCCAGGTAAAATGGACTATAGCTGCTTCTTTTGACCACAACAATATGAAGCAGCTGGAAAATAATTTTGAAAAACCCAGGGCTATTTCTTAATGGAGATCTGGGATCTGCATATATTTTTCTTATACCATGCCATCTTTACTAGATTTGGTTCAGTAAAAACACATTTCTTCCATTCCCTTTGAAACAATGTTTGTATTTTATTGTGGTTTTCAAGCTGTCATCCAGAAAAGATTTCTTCATCCTCTCAGAAGAAGCTTTATGGTGTGGGATCCTGGGCAACAGTATTGAGAAGGGAAATAGCACTGTTTGAACCAGGCGAAGTGGAGGAAAGGAAAATTATATTTTAGCCACATCAAAGCTGCCATGTAATCATCATGCTACTAGCAGAAGATCTGAAATCATCATTTCCTATTTTTCATTTTTGTATAATACTAGGATATTAGAGTAGCCAAACCAGAGCACATAGCTGGCTTTTGTGCTTATGTATTTTACCTGGTTAATTGCAGCAAATTCAATTCTCTGAAAGAGTATGAAAATCTTCACCTTTTAATTTGTATGCAAACTATTACTGCAAACTACTTTACTACTTAAAGCTGCATGCATTGTTTTCACAAATCATCAGGAATCGTCTTCACCCAGATTTATACCATTTTGTGTGTATTCCTTTTTTGCCTGCTACTATCAAGTACCAATTTTGGTAAATGAATCCCCTCTTGGGTAATTTCCACAATCTGGAGCAGAACTGTGTTATCTTTCTGCCTCATTGACTTACTATCTCATTTTCAGTCTCTGAAGAAAAGCTATCTTTTTTTTCCCCACCTTGCTTATACTACTTTTATGTTCCATGAGAGCAAGCTTAGTCCCAATCCATGCCTTTTAGTGATAAAAAAAAACAGGCACTAATTTAATGTTTCATAATATTTTGTAAAAACATCCTCAGAAATCAAAGTAATAGCATGCAGAAAAGATTTCAGAAATGAAAGAGGCAAGTATATCAGGAGTGCCTTAGAGCACAAAGAAGTCAGTCATCTGAACATTTATCCAAACATAATAAAGTCAACACCACAATAAAGTATTCTGTTTAATGGATTATTATTGTTGTTATTTTTATTTAAGTTCCAAGAGAATTCTACATTATTCCATATTCTTTTCCATGTGGATATGTTCATATTTTTTATATTAAACCGAATTTTAATCAAGCCTCTGGAAAATAAATGAAGTTTCATAAAGGCAAATGAATGTTTTTTTTTTTTCCACAAAGAAGGAATTGAAAGCCAAATATACTAGAGCTTAAATGAGTAGAAATCAATATCGCATCCCCCTCCTGCTGTTCCTTCCTGCTGAACATTTTTAAGTGCTAACAGTTTGGGGTATGAATTGATTAGAATTTGTGAATAAAGGAAGGAAAACAAAATACTTCCTGGAATATCTTCTAAAAGGGATGACCTTTTGTGGGACTTGGAGAACTTGGTGAAAATCATGTGCTGTGATGTTCTTTAATAGTGGTGTGCAGAATTACATCTCTAGCTCATATTTTTATGGTCCTCAAGGCAGGCAAAATATTTCTTCTTTTTCACGATTGAAATAAAATACTACAGGAAAAACAAAAGGAACTAAAAATGTAAACCATGGAGTGCTGCTCTGCAGAGGTAATTGTCTCCAGTGATGGATGTGAAGCACATGCATTTTGCAGATGAGTTAAGCCCCCAAAGAACCTATTGCATAATCTTCTCTTCTTGTCTGTTCTTCTAAATGTGCTTTCAATTTTCATATTGCTGATACAAATCTCTTGGGTCAAATTTCGTGTCTTGTCATGTTTTCACAGTAGTCTTTTATGTAGACCCAAGAATTTCAACTCTGCCTGCTTCAAACAGTTACATTGGACTCAAAATTAACTGCAACTTGAAGAAGAGCAAAGCACATCAGAGTACACTAGTTTTACTCTGTGTAAGTAGGGGTGGCAGCCTCCTTCCTGCATGTTAGTGCAGCAAGAACCAAAATTGCCAGAATCAGGCCCATCTTTAGTGAGGCTCCAGTATCCACATCCTATTTCATCCCACAGTGTGGTTGTCCCTTGTAAACAGAATCCAGCACATGTGTTAAAAATGCCTCTTGGAAAGGCTTGAACTATCATTTTCTTCAGGTGGTTGAGTGTGTTCCTTGTAAACCTGAACCACTATGAAACACAGAGACATCTCTGTAGTGTATAAAAGGTCTAATGCCTACAGTACATGTCTTCTCGAGGCCTGTGATATTCTCCTTCCTCCAATCCATTCAATGTCACAGTCTTTTCCATGTAGAGAAGCAAAGGAAAGTGTGGAAGTGTTGAGTACCTCAGCTTTTTACCTTCCACAAAGGATCTGTACTTAGAAGAATTTAGCAGGATAAGGCAAGGGAGAAACAACAGCTCACACTTTTTTTTTTCCTCCTTTAATTCTTAAACCACAAGGAAATTGTCTTAACAACAATATGTTTAATGGTTATTTGTGAATCTGAGAGGTTTCTTCATTCTTCCTGAATATGTTTACTAGTATGTGTGCTCTCATGGCTATTTCTAACTAGTAAGTCATGCAGGAGACGTGAGTTGAGGCCTCAGGATTTACATCAAAGGACACACTTTGTTAACCTGGTTTCATAAACAGTAGTCACACTAGCAGCTCTTCTCCCTTTTCTTAACTCCAAAGGTCTGATGTGCCATATGGGTTCGAGATGTTTAACATTTTTGTCATGTCAAAATTGTTTTGATAATGCCATTGATGCTTCTCCAATCTGTCAGAAACAGTTCAGAGAAGGTTACTATAATTATTATAGAAACATATGTGCTAATTCTGCAGATGTGTAACAGAGACATTCTTCTGGGTTTTGTCTCCCTTAGGCTTTTGATGGTGGACTGAAAGTGAGCAGTTTGACAGGTTCGATGCAGGTTTGATTGAGAGAATAGTTCTCCACATGACCAGTTTCATTACCAGACACATTAAAAACAATCTGGAGTTACTGGCCCTAGAGAAAAAAATCAAAATTAATTACCTAATGTATTTGTTTTGGTTATGAGGGATGTCCTTCCCTCTTGCAAAATGGCTTTTTTTTATCCATATAATGAAAGGAGAGTGATGCAGGGCTTGGCTTTATGTGTATGTTTTTTGTTGGAGGAGCCCTCAGACATAAGTGTTGAAGTGATCATAATAGCACAGCATTGTGTCATCAGACCTTCTTTCCATCCTTGTTCTTTTCCTTTTGGTTTTGTACTGCTTACAAATAGTGGGATAAAATACCTAATTTTTTTTTTTTAGAGATATAATTGTGTGTGGGGGGGTATACACATACCTTTACAGATATGTGTGTTTGTGTAGATATATAGGACTCAATTTATCTTTTGGATAGCTCAGATTAAAGGAAGGAGATTATCTTAAGTCATCTCTAATTTTTTAGTAAATTCAATTTATTTTCATTACTTTGATGCAATGGAAGTTGTTTTTCAGAATAGCTTATTGTAGTAACTTTGTTTATCTCAAACTAGAATGGTGCCCCTTGCTAAAGACACCTTCTTGTGAAATGGCATTTAAACCACATCTTCTTCAAAAGCCTAGAGAAAATAGAATAATCTGTATATTTATCCAGCTTTTAAACTGCTGCTGTAATATGGAGCAAGAGACGGTTTCTTTTAGAGAGCTGCCTGAAAATTAGTGTCACTTTTTCTATTCTCTCACTGTCTAAAGGGGCTCAGCAGACACCACAGATGTACAACCCTGTTTTTTTCTCTTCTTCTTGTTTTTCTTTTCTACCCATTGTAATAATCTGGCTTTAAGCACAGACTTTGACAGCCATGATCTGCTGTCAGGCTGCTCAAGCTGTCAAGCCGCTTCTGGCAATGTAGGAAATGGAGCTCAGAGCCTGCAGCTCCCTAATCAGAAGTGTCTGCTCGGTGCTTGGGAAAGGATGTCCTCACGTGCCTAGGCAGACTGCAGGTGAACACAGCTACAGCACAAAGGGCATGGCTCCTGAGGAATGGTTAAACCATAAAATCTGTTGCAAAGCTAGCAGTCCCTGATTCTTCCCTTTGAGTTGACTAAGTCTAATTGAAATTAATCTAGTTAAGAGCCCCTTATCAATATTAAGTCGTAAGCCTCCCAGTCTCAGCCATGGTGATAATTTGATAAGATGCTTTTTGTTTCTCTAGATTCCAGTCAGAGTGAGTGAATTATTGTCTCTTGTGGAGTTCGCCTAATTCATCAGTTCCCAGTCAAAAACTTTATACTGTGTCTCCTTCAGTGCTGCCTGCTAAACTTAACCAGCCTCCCCTGTCTTGTGCTCTTATTGATGCCTGTTTATGTTCTTATTCCTAATCCCTTGGTCCTGCCCTCCTGATTCTTCAGTCTCTGCTCCTTTCCATTCCCTGTCTCCAAGACTCCTCCTGAGTTTTCCCCCCTGTCCCTGATTGACTATGAGTGCCATCTGATGCTATCACACTTCAGTGTCAGCCCACATGCTCAGGGAGATGTGATGATGATTGCAGCCCAGCTTAATGTATGTGAAGACATCTGGGATCAAGAATGAACATCCACTGGGCCCTTTGATTGCTTGAATTCTTAAAATAGGTTTTCTGTGGCTTTAGTATTTTTTTCCAACATTGCTCATTGTCTGCCAATCTTAGAAATGGATGCTTAAATATTATGTTAGTCTGAAGATCCTGATAAGGCAGTTACATAAAACTGTGACAGAGAACAAAGAGTTGGTAAGTTTAGGTTATAATCACAGCATTGAGGAAGGATGGGATTGCTAATAATTTTTTGTTTTGAAACAACTTTGCCCTGCTGGAGCTCTCCTCTGGTGCCAGTGTGTGTGACACGAAAGAATTTCATCCCAAAATTTTTTGTTGTCCCATTTAGGAAACTGCCAGGCAGAAATGTCTACGCTCAGATGCACAATGAAAAAGAGCAGGAGATGACAAGCCCTGTTAATCACAGTGAGGACACCCAGAACATCATCCAGGGTGAGGAGTTTATTGATGATGATCTGGACTCTCAAACACTAGGTAACGCAAGAGGTAACTTTGTTTTTAGCTTATAAATTTTCATAAGTAGTTAATTTTAAATTGATGTTTGTTTTCATTTTATTTCTTTTTCATTTTCTGTTCAGTCTCAAAAAGATGCAAATGGTGACACCACTAACAAGGGATTATCTCAATCACCTTTTGGCTTACTTATGGTACAGCCTAAGGTATGGATGATGTGCTATATAGAGCATGAGTACAGACACAGTAGTTTAATGTCAGGAGATTGACTTGGACAATTTGAGAGATAAATTATATTTGGTAGAATGGGATATGATCTGCAACCGTTGCATTGACTCAATAATCCCCTGAATTAGTGGAAAATTGAGTTCAGGCCAGAAGGATTTGTAGAGTCAATGCTTCTGTGATTTCAGATGGATTGTATGGAGCTCCAGTGCTTTATTTGCCTTCACATTCCAATGGCATTTAAAGTTTTTGTTATTAGAAACATTAAATTTCTCCATGTATTAAAAGTATCATAAATCTTCCTTAATTTAGCTGTTGATTTTCTAGTATTCATGAGGTGGTTGTAAAGAACCCATGAGGGAAATTTTCTGTGAGTATCTCTCAGTGGAAATTATTTCAGTGTCAGGTGGAAGTGTAAATCCTGGCACCCTGTGGCTAGTTTTAATGCAACATGGAGCTCTGATCTATAATACATTGTCTTTAGACTGCTTTCAGGTCACAGTCTGAAAGTTTTAGGACAATGTAAAAAACACCCAGTTCCCTTTCTGAAAATTTGTGAAAATAAATCAGATGATCCAAAGCTTTTGGGATTTGTAGCAGTAGATTGATGGTGTGAAAGGCAATTGTAATGTCTTTGTGAACCCCAAGGAAGAAGATGTGTTTTAGCTGCACCCAAGGTAGCCTGGGCAAGACAGAAACTGGTCTGCCGAGAGATTTCTTTATCTTGGGTTTCACCTTTTTTGTTTGTTGTCAATGTTTTTATTTTCATTTGCAGAACTGTGTGCTGCTTCTAGGTTCTTGGAGGTGTTTGCTTTGAACACAAGGGAAGAATCCAGCCTCTTGCTTTGCTTTGTGTATTTCTATCTCTTCTTTGACAACTTGTGTATGAGTATCACTGCTTTCATTCTAATTTTGTAAGACGACCTTTGTTGCTCTCCTGACTTTACCGGAGTTAGTTCCAAAAACAAACCTGGAAAAACAAAGTCTATGTTAAATTTGTTTGGTCATCTTGTCTCCAGGGTCTTTAGAGGAGAACCTGAATGCTAACAAGGTTCTTGCAGGAATGCCTATTAAAGTGGAGCATTCAAACACCTCTAGTAATGTACAAAAGCATATCTTCTTTTAATGGTAGAAAATCCTTCATGGCTTATTTAAAAGAAGGCAGCTTGGGATGCTCTAATAAAGAAATGCCACCCTGATTTGTAACACATTTAGAATTAATCTCTGCTCACCCTGCACTTGTTACTTAGAGAAAACAGAAATCTTCTATCTGAGCAGAGCATTAGTTTTGGGTTAAAGAGTACAAGATCATGGTGTTTTGATGACATAAGAACATAAATGTGATTTTCAGGTGATTTGTGCTTCAGCCAGGTTGTCTGCAGCAGCAGACTTTCCAGGAGAGTGTAAAAAGCTCATTTTTGTGGATCATAATAATTTTATTTGTCAGCTACTGTACAGCTTTTAGACAGAAGATGTTATTTAATACATAAAGCTACACTCCTGCTCGTTCTACTGGTTTTTTATTTGCAATACTTTCCACTAGCTCCGGTATTGCTCAGTACTGCCAAGAAAACACTCCTGTTAATGATACTCTATTTTATCTGGTTTAGAGTATGAAACACGTTATAATCCCTGCTTTATATTAAATTCTGGTTTACTACATTATTTGCAGAAGGTTCCTATGCTATGGAGATCCCTTCTAGTTCTGGTGAGCTTTCTCCCTCCCTCTCGGGAGATGTCAGTAGCCGCCTCCGCTCCATGCGCAGCAGGGATTTACAGGCCTGGGTTTCTGTTTGTTCTCTCTCTTCTCATAACTTTTGAATTTCCACAGTACAGTATTTCCAGACTCACCCATCCACTTTTTTTGTTTTCTATATATTTTATGTTGCCTACTTTATCGCAACCCCCACCTTGGGACTCCTCAACACCATTACCTTGCAGTGACTCCTTCTGGGAGAAGTGGCAACTTGAACAGCTACAGAGTTCCCTTATTGCTGATGCCGGTCAGTGTCCAGTCCCAGGTCAGTGGCATGTCGAATGGAGGCCTCAGGTTCCATTCTCCTCCCTCACCTGCACCCCTCGAGACAACTACACCTTTATAAGCCACAAAGAGAATCAACTTATGCTGTCACTGGGATAGAAACCCTAGGAATTCACCACAAATCCACCACCATGAGCAAAAGCTTTGTGCAAAAGTGTGCTGTAGGTACATGGAGCTGTTGCACCAACCTTCACCTGACCTGTTGTTTGATAAAGACACTCTCTTATGCAATTTACTTGTCTCTGCAATTAAAGGGGGATTTTATGTGGAGTACCTTAAATACACTAATGTTGGCCTTTTTCTTTTCTGTATTTTCCTAGGCAATCACTCAGGCGTGGTTTTGAGCATCAACTCCAGAGAGATGCACAGTTACCTGGTTAGCTGATATTTGCAGCTGAACACAAAAACCGAAAGACTCTTCACTGTACCGTTTTATTTTTCCCTGGTGATGTCCCGAAATTGCAAACATGGCTGTAAATGCTGATGGAGAGGAGGTTTCTTATCAGTCCTGTGGAAAAAAGCATCCATCATCAATTACCAAGGGCGAAGGATAACATGTCTTGTGTTCACTCTATGGCCTGGGAACTCATTTTGACCAAAACTCAAACAATGGTAGCAAATTTGTAGCCCTGGGCACCTTCAATGCCACCTTGTTTCTTTTCTGTATGTGCTCTATTTCTTTATGTTTATTTTTAGAATGATTGACTGTAACTTTTTCATTATATTTTTGACTGAGGTATTCAGTGGAAGGCTGGGAATCTTCAGCCCAGAAAGGTGATTTTTACACAAGTGACTAGAACAGAAAAGATGGTTGGTTGATCACAATGACAATTTTTTTTAGTAGGCCAAGTGTTTCTGTACTGGGAAAGGACTGAGAGAGAGACAAATGCACTCCTAGTTGAGACCAGCTCTTAACTAAAACATGTGTGAGACAATCTAACAAATTTAGGCTTAGGCCCTTCTGAGGATTAAAGGAAGTAAAATATTAATTAGGATATCTTGTAATGTACAATAATGCTCTTGTAGGTGTAGCAAGTCCTGACAAACTATCAGCATCGGTATCTCCCCCAATCCCATCACATGTGAAAGAAAAACACCAGCTTGATGCTATTTCCAGACCAGGTGCCTTCACTTGAAGACAGTAATTTTAGTTGCTCTTTTTTTTTAGGCCTGAGTGAGCCCCTCTAGGATGATGGCAGCTGCCAGATGAGTTCTCCTGTTAAAACCTAGGCTGGTGGCCTGTCTCTTTTTAAATTTCCAGACAGTGTAAATACCACTTTTACGCAGCTTTCTTTGTATGGTTATTTTTTAAAAACTTGCTCTAAGGGCAGCTGTGCCAGGTGGGTCAGAGTTCTGCTCTGGGAAGGGCTGGGTAGCACTGCCATCTCCTTCCCTCTGGGATTTCCCCTGGTGTTTGCCCTTGCTGGTGGGAGTGGGCAAACCCCAACCTGACCTCTTCCACTTGGGTTGGTTTGACAATCCAAAGGGTTACGGGGATGATGGGAAGGGATTTAGGGCTTCTTGTTTCCTTCCCATCACCACAGGGTGTCTCTCAGTCCCTACCACCACTGGCCCCTTTTTCTGCAGGGACAGCAGGGGAAGGGCTTCTGGAGGAGCTGCCTGCAGAAAGGCTTGTGAGTGGGGTCCTTGTTTCCTCATCCCAGTTTTGTCAGCTGGGTCAGAGTTTCCTAGTCTTGACCTCTGCATCCCTGGGAATGGCAATGCAGTGAATCCACACTCCTCTTGTCTTTTCTCTGTGGTTTATTTTAGCCATGTCAGAAAGCAAGTATGGTGTAGTGTGGTGAGTTTAAATGTCTGGCATCCTGTGTGTCACAGCTGCCTGGGATTAGGATGCTTCTCTCAGAAACCTATATAATCTCTTCACTTTTTGCCTTTGATAGAGAATAAATAACTCTGTACTCACCGAATGTCATATTGATGCTAGTGACAAGCTCACCTACCGCCTTGTTTAAGAAGGATATAGATAGTGCATTGTCCAGAATATGCAAACAGAAAATAATGAAGGCTAGTCAAATAGAAAAGAACTGTCTTAAAATCAGTGTATGCATTGGAATCATTCTTCCATGTAGCTGTGAATATAGAGCATATTATCATCAAATTAAGCGGATTGGGATGTGGTAATTCAGTGTAGTATTGTAGACTCTCACAAACCCCTTAGGATGTATGAGTAAAGCACAAGAAAATCTAGATTATAAACTTACTGTAAGGAACTAGGTGGGAAAGTTAGAGTGAAGATTCTGAAAAGTACTTGCAAACCACTCAGGAAAACAATTACAAAAATGTTCTAAGATTTCTGCCTATTTAGTTGTATAGTGCCATATAAACTTATTAACAGAGAAGCAATGCCCTGGCTGGCTGTTGTATGCCATACTGTGGAAATCCAAGGTCTTAAATGTATCTGAGTCTGCATTTCTTGAAGAGAAGTGCATATACAAAATATGCTGTGAATTGGAAACTCTTGGGATCATTGCACCAGGGGTTCTCTCTCCTCTCCAGCTCTTCTTGCTTTTTCTAGTGGAAATGAGCTGAAGCAGAGAATAAAATAACACTGCAACCATCTTACTTGTTCCTGTGAAATAAATCTGAAATGGGTTATTTGTATAGGGCAGGTGAGTGGCAAACCATCTTCATAGACAAGGAATGGGATGGAAGCTCTGGCTTGGGGTTGTTCTCACATAGTTAGTCTGATTGGTAAAGGACTCTGTTGGAACTAGGTCACACATCTAATTTATGCTTTAACAGATACTTTTATACATTTAATTCAGGGTGATTTGTGTCTCTGATCACAAGAGTCTTTTGGAATATGGTAGAATAGTTAACTGCTTGGTACTCTAATTAACACTTAGCACAGTGTAGTGCCTGTAATAATTTTTTCCAATGCTTAATAATTGATTTGTGCAGCACTCCTGTGAGGTTGGTTTGTCATGTCTTAAAAAACTGTTTTCTAAAGACATGTTGGTATTACCATAACTGTATTAATAATACCCAGCAGATAATAAAGGAAGCCTTTGATTTCCTCTCAAGAATAATTTTAAAATGAATTATTTTAAAACTGAGAAAGTACTATTGCCATTTTCTCATTCATGGTGTCTTGGTTTATCTGTAAATGAAAAGACTCACTAGTGCTAGTTCTCAAATCTCTTGAACTACATCCATGATATCTTAACTTTTTATTCTTTATATGTATCTAAAATCCTGATACATGAGTATTCAGAAACACAGAGTTGCTTCTATGCACAAGTGCTACTCACACATGTGTGCATGCACACATGCAGTATTTGTACATATTTCACTTAAGCTTTTTTTAGTGGGGAAGGGTGATGTGGTGGCTAAGAAACAGATGACTGGATTCTGTACTCAGTATTTTGAGCAAGTTATTTCCCTTGTATGTGCTCCAGTTTCCCCACCTATAAAATGGGGCTGATAGTAATTACCTACCTCACAGGGGCATTGTGAGGCTAAATTAATTACTGTTTGTTCAGGATCATCAGAGCAAAAGAATTTTGTGAGTATGAATTATTAGTGGTTTAACTTTCTTTGTTTCACTTGTAATTATCACTGTTCTTAAAAGTTCTCTGAAACCAGCTGCAATTATGTATAAATGTAAAAAAATGCATAATTCAAAAAAGAAAAGGTGCATCACTGGTAAAAAATAATAATAAAAAAAAGGTCATTTTATTTAAACACTGCTATTGGAACATACTGTTACATGGTAGCACTGCAACATTGGCTGTGATTTTGCTGTTGCACACTAGTATTGTCAACTCACTTCTATGCATTGTTATTTGATCAAAAACCTTATAAAAATAGGTACAGTGATATTTATCACCACTGATATTGAAGTATACTGAATCTAAAAAAGTGGCAGCGTACTGGCCTCATTAGTCTCTTTCGCCTTCTTAAAATCTGATATATTTGCAATTTCAAAAACACTTTACTTTTCAGAGTGCTCCAAGCAGTATGATCTGAAGCATTCTAACAGAGCCATCAAGATTTACAGCTGTCTTTGCTTTCTCTTTTGACATTAAATGTTTTATATGGCTTTGGAACAGCCCATCCATATGTAGTATTCAGAAATGCTCAGAGGACATTTAGGGAAAATGCACACAGTGTTAATTAATTTTTCAATAATATAAGCAATATAAACCAGTGTATATTTTTATACTCTGTTGAAGAGGGTGGTGGAAATGGCTGGGAAGAAATAGAAGGCCTGAGGCAAGATGTTGTTGTTATCCACAATTCACATCCAATTTCTTGGAACTCTTTTATGATATTCTCATTTAATTAAATCCTTCTTGATGCATTTTCTTCTTTCAATGACCGGTGTAATGAGGAGTAAGCTGTTTATTCATATAAAATAGATGATTTATTAACTAACTGTCCTGTAAAGACAAATCAGTGCTTTGCCATTAGTAATTCCTAGTGCAAAGCAAGTTTCATCTGACATGGTTATCATGGTTAACATGGTGTTTTCAGTCCAAAGAGACCTTATCTTAGCGGGGAGACTGTATGCTGTATCTTTAATAGAGGTCACTAGAATGGAACTGCAGTAGTTTCCATCCTCCTTACACAGACACATGCTCAAACAAATGTGTAGGAAAAAGAATATCCTTATAAGAAATTAAATACATACAGTAGCTTTTTGATGATGAACCAGAGGTTCTGAAAAGTTTTGAATTTCTAGTGTTATTTCAAGTCAATGTTTCTAAGTAGATAGAATCGATGACAATTTCAGTCATAGATTTTTCCTATGTTTCCTATTAAAAAAGTTTTGTAATTTTTTCATTAATGAGACTTCAGGGGAAAAGAGAGACTAAACATTTTATTTCATTGCAGAGTCCCTACCAGTTGGAGTTATGATAGTTGTTTTATGGTATATTGATTGATACCACTATATTGTTTCCATATTCATTTTTATTTCAGCATTTTAGATGAAAGTAAGGCCCATTTCTCTCAAAATATTGGATTTTCACCAGGACAAAATTTATAAGCATTTACTCTTATAAATCTTGATTTTTGAGATGCAAAATTTTATTTTGTCTTTTAATCCATCCAAAATGCTGCTTCCTGGCTCATTTTCTGTTTTAGTCCCAGTTGTACATTCCTTCTACAACTTTCTTCAAAAGACTGGCACATAGCCAGTACTAGTCTGAGAAAACCTAAAACTTTCATTAGAATGGCATTTAATTGACTATAAGTAAGGTCTGCTCAGATAATTACTTTAATGTTAAGTTTGTATTTTCATGTTCTGTATTTCCTTTCAGCATCTTAGCATTTGCCCTCTCAGTGCCATTTAAATGCCTTTTTAATAATGTAATGTTTTTGACTTATTTTTAGTCTATAATCATCAATGTTACAAATAACTCAGACCCCTGGTTAGCTTTTGCAATTAATAGCTTAACCCTGCAGTCTTTGGGAAATGTCAAGCTGTGACTTCTCATATTTGTAATCTTCTATCCCAAGCCAGCTCTTCTACCCAGCTGGACAGCAGCATTGCCTCCAGTTGTCCGTGCATGCTCAGACTGGAGGGGGTGCAGAAGGGCTGCTCTGTACTAAGACATCCTAGAACAGCCCATTTCCCAAATCTGGATGGGAATGTCATGCAGAAAAAGTTCTTAATTGTTCCTTTTTTTCAAGTGTGTTGCATAAGCAGAGAAGGTGCATATTATTGGGAAAAGAAGAACCTGTAATGGTATTTCAGGCTGCTCTGGAGGCTAAAGAATGTATCCTCTTGGGATATTTTTCCATTGAAATTGATATGTACAGCAAGTTAGTTTCATGATTTTTAATATGAGATCTCATTTCTGTAAGTCTTCAGTACTTTTCCTCCTGTTAAATGGAGTAGCAAATTACTTAAACTATGAATTGTGGAGCCATGTATGACTTCCATTCTTTTCATCCCTTTTTTTCATATGTGAAGCTTGTCAGCATTACTGTTTCCATCTAGTTTATATTGTGGTAGCTGAGATGATCTTCTGTAAGACAGTACCTAAGAAATATTGGAAGGCTTAGAAATATGTACTCTAAAATACAACAACATAGCTGTGAGAAAAAATTCTTATCAAAAAGCTATTATGGTTTGCATTAAATACTTTTTTAGTAGTATCTCTAAAAATACATACTCTTAATTGCAAACTCTTTGCCTCTCCTTCGAGATTGATTTTCTTTCAGAGAACATTTACTAGCACTAAAAGGAAGTGCATTCTTTCCCTTACACAAGTAATTTTGCTTAATATTTTTTCTTTGTAACACTTGGATTTCACACAAACCTTGTCTGTCTTGATCAGCCTTGATTTCTGAGTTTCTGTAGAATTTGCATCTTTACACTGATTACTTGCAATACAGTGGACATAAAGCCCTGTTAAGCAGCAATAATGCAAGCAGCAGTACCTGGCACTGCTTAAAAAATATGCCTTTTTTGCACGTATTTTTAATGGTATAATGAGTATATTAGTCATCAGGAAGGCCAGGCATTCCAAATAACTTTCTTAATATGTCTTATATTTCTATGTAATTTGTTGCTAATTTTAGACAGCTTTTGATACTTATATTTAGCTCTTACTGACAGTGTCTGCTCTTGCAGATCAAAGCGAATGAATTGGCTTATTCACTTTTTAGAAAGAGTATTAATTCACACTGCTTATTGATTAAGAGTTTGAAAATGAAATCTTTCTGAAATGGTGAAAGAGATAGTTTTAATGAGGACAGCTCATGCAGGAAAACAGCAGGCTTATATCCATGTGGCTAATTCTTGTTATGGATTTTGAATAGAAAAGACTGCAGAAGAAATGTGACCCCAAACATCAGTAACATGCACGTAGGCAGTTTGCAAATGGTGAAACTAGTCCAAAGGAGAATATTGTAATACACCACCTCTATGTTTCAGGTCCTCATTAGGGCCTTTAAATGGTTAAAATTACAGAATATCTTCAGAAACAAACTAACCAGGAAATTGCCAAATTAATTAGCTCCATTTACTTGTAAATACAGTCCTCTCTTTGGGGATAATCTTCTGAGATGCTGAAGTAGCAAAGTAACTGTTCATGAAGTCACCTGCATTGTTTGATGCTTCCAAATCTTTGCCAAATAGCTTCTGAAACTAGGAAAAAAAAAAAGCCAAATTTCCACTCTTTTCTATTTCTCCTCCTTTCTTCCCCCCACCCCTGTTTTGTAGTCCTTTTGTTGTGTTTCATTATTGCTGCTGGTTGTGGCTCTGCCTTGCCTGGCTTCTCCAGATGATAGTTTTCTACAGTCCACTTTTTCTTCTTTGCTTTTTGTTCTCCTTTATGTTACTGTCTGTGTTTCTATTTGGATATGCACCCTACTGTGTCCCAACTGATAGCAAGAAGAATAACAATCTTCCCCATTCCTGCCCCTCCTTTAAGCTCTGCTGTGTTTTCTGAGTCGATGAGGTTCCCTGTGCTTTGTGTCACTGCAGTCCATCCTTCCTGTTTCTTTCTCACTTCAGTATCTTTTAATCCTTTCAGATTTAATTTTGGCTCTCATTTTTGCTGAACCTTTCTGGAATTCTTATTTTTTACTTTTTAAGAACATCTCTCAGATGTTTGTCCCAGAGAGCACATGCTTCTACTTTGAGATGTGGATGAGTATTGTAGTCCCTGAAAGAATAAAAACCAGCATTTCCTCTCTCACCAGTATGTATATTGGTTTTGCCTTTGGTCTGTAGTAAAATTATGTATTTAATTGGCAAAGATGCTTATCTGTTATCTCCTAGATATCTTCCTCTGCCTCCTTTTGGGTTACAGGCTGAGACATGGTGTTCCCATGAGTTTCCTGGAGCACAGCAAGGGCTGCCTTGCTTTGCCAGCCTCGCAGTCTGGCAGGTACAGAATTGCAGCAGGGGTAGAGACACCTTGCCATACCCCTGGGCTGCATTTGTGTTTCAGTATGGGAAATGCTGAGACCCAAGCTGAGACACAGCTTTTTAGAGAAATTGTTACAGCCCAAAGCTGAAGAATAGGTGAAGTAAAGAGAATTCTTTGTTAATAGAGGGTTGGGAGCAATTTGACCTGACAGGTTTATGGAATAGGTCTGTATGAAACCTTTCCTAGAGGGTGGAGAAAATGGCTTAGATTCAAGTTCCATAAAATACAAATTTAGGCAAAGTCACCAGATATTTTTGGAATCATTATGGATCATTCTGGAGGAACTTGGAGAATGTAATGGGAGTAAGATCACTGAAAAGCCCAGCTGTATCTTGGAAGGGTACAGCCTGTCTTAGGGAGTGTAAATGAGAGAGATGTGGGAAGGAGGGGAGCTGAGGACTAAACAGGACAAGGAAAAGCAGGGAGAGTCAGTGTTACCAGTGTGTATGGTTTTACCATGTTGTTCATCTTGTTTCACTTAAGTCTTCAAGCTTACTTTAATTTGTAATGGCTATTATTTTATTTTGTTGGTTGCATGCAGACACTTTAAACCATGAGTCTAAATTGAAGCAGCAAGAGAAACATTCAAAATTATCACCATCTCTCTGTCTATAACTTAAGACAGATCTGACTTGCAGCAACATCCAACCTGAGGTGCATGGAAAAGATGTTTTCAGAGTCAAGATGCCTGTATGTGTGCTCCAGATGATGGGGGGTCATTTGCTAATGGTGTTCCTCCCTAGCACAGCACTGAGCTAGAAGACAAGGAAAAAGAATTATTTTATAGAGTCTGTCTCTTGCATTTATACTGTTGAAATGTAATTTGCTAGAATGCCTCTATGAGCTGTAATTTTATAATGTTTAAAGAAGATGAATGGAGCTGGTGTAGTATTCCTGAGGGTAAACACCAGTGACTAGAGTTTACTGAACATGTGACTAGAAATTTTAATTTTAGGAACAGAGAGTTCCTCCGTTTCATATACACACCAGGCCTTTGAGTACAGATCCTTTTTTTCATTTTTCACTGACAGGCTGTGATTTATTTCCTCATGGGTGTAAAGTCATGGATTGTGCTTGCTGCAGTGCAGAAGGCTCTGGAGGGAAAACATAATCAAATGGAGAATTATACTTGAATTCTCCTCTCTTGATCCCAGTCTTCTCTGAGTTGTTTTTCTCTGATTGTCATTCTTTCAATAAACTGGGTTGTTGTTAAAAGGCGATTAACTAATTTTCATCCTCTTCCATGTGACTGAGGAAAAATAAATACAAGAATTTGCAGAGGAACAGCAGATTGAAAGAGGGTAGGGAACTTGATCATCTGGCAGAGTGCTTTGGGAAGCTTCCATGTTTTATGTTTTACTTACCACTTATTTCTACAAATATGTGCAGTGCCTGTGATTTACCTTTCCATTAAACTTTGATAGGTTTCTTTGCACAAGGTGATTTTCAAAAATGCCACCCTAGTGCATTGCAAGTGTGGGTTTAGGAGGCATCAGGTATTGCCCTTCCTCACCTAAATGAAATTAACTTGGTGTATTAATTTGTTGTATTTATGAAGCAACAGTAGGAATATTGCTTCATCCTATATTGGAGAAATATTTTGAGAGATGAGAGTTGGAATGGGAGAATTTTCCTTTTTAAGAGTAAAGGATGGAAGCCAGCTTATTTACAGTGCATCTGTGGCTGTTCCAGCACAGGTGGGTGCAAAGTCTCTTAATCCAGGTACAGACAGATAAATATAGACTTTGCTGGCATTACCCATGAAAACAAAAGGAAAAAAAAATGTTAATTAAGGTGAGCCTAAATAATATTTTGTGACTAATTACTGCAGCAGCTCTTGGCAAGTATATGAAAGCCTATAAAATAAAAACTAGGCTTGACATATGTCTTGTGAAGATTCACAAAGCATGTGTCACTACCCTGTTGTTAATGTGGAACATCCTTTATTTGGCATTGCAGGGCCAAATTCTACTCAAATTTATGGCCGTGCAGTTCCACAGACATTATCAGTTCAGCTTTGTGTTACAGAAGAATTTCATCCACTGTGAATTTGGAAAGAAATTGCAGGTTAAAATCAGTCTTTTCAATGCACCTGTGCTTACACAGGTTACTTACTGATTTTCACCATAATTTTTATCCCCATTGCTAGCATGAGAGTTCTTTGGATAGATGTAAGCTAATTACAACCAAGGTAGAACTGAATTTTTTAACTGCTTAGGACTGCTTGGTCAGCAAATGCTTAACACTGTATCCAACTGGATTTTTGATCAAGAGGTTATTCCACCCCATGTGAAGGTTCTTAGCAGTCATCAGTATGCTGTAACCCCTACCTGTAACATACAAGGCTACACAGTCCTCTCCTTCTGCCTTTGCACATTCTAGTAGTTGTGAAAACAGAACATGCCTTCTCCTAATTTTGTTTCAGGTGACCTTGACTTTAAGCAGGTTTCTTTGTAAACAGTAACAGGGCTCAAGTGATGAATGAAACAAATCCATAACTGGTGCATTGTCAAAAATGGGGAAAAGTGTTATTTGTATATTTTTGTAAATATGTAACATTTAATGGCAGTTTTGTAGTGACGTGCTGTTTTTGAGAAAAGGAAGCAAATATATGTTTGAATATGCTTGACGTAACACTTAACTGTGATTCAATTGCACAAGTAATAGCTTAATCAAAAAGTCTTGTGCAATATGTAGTGCACACACATAGCCAAGTATCTGTTAGCGATCCACAAGCAAGTTTTTGGCAACTTTTAACAATGGTGATGAACTGTGCAGTACAGATTATCACGGTCTCTTTCAGCTTCCAAACATGTAGCAGGCAAACTACTGTATACGTACCTGTGTACTCCACTGCATCCAAAGGTATGCATTTGTCCTGAGAACCTGCACTCCAGGTTTTTCTTTAATAAAATTTGGTTCTAAACTATTGATTGCTTTGTTTTCCTTTGGAAGCTTCTCGCGGGGTTTTGGATGGGGAACCGGTTTAACCAGTCCCCAGAGTTTGTGTGTCTGTATTGAGCAGCCAAGGACTCGAGCCCAAAGGCTGCAGCAAACCTTCATTCTCCTCCTCTTCAGCAGCCACCCCATCCTCCTACACTGCAGCTCGGCTCCATTCCAGGGCAAGAGGGAAAAGCCCTCTTTTTTTTTCTTTTTTTTTTTTTTTCCTTTTTTTTTTTTTTTTTTTTTTTTTGTTTTTTTTTTTTTTTTTTCTTTTTGCTTTTCCCCGGGAGGTGTCCGAGTGCCGCTGGTGCAGGCTGACATCCCGCGGTGAGCCGGAGCTCTGCAGCCGCTGAATCGGGGCTGAGCATCTCTGACTTGCTAAAGAATTCCGGAGTGTCAGCCTGGATCTCCCTATGATAGAGCGCCATCAACAGAGCAAAAGTATGTGTGTTCTGCCCTTCCCGTGCCTTTGTTCCAAACTCTTCTTTTCTTTTTATTAATTGCCCTTCCTTTATCCCACTCTTTACCTAAGGAGTTGCCGATGCTGTAGAAGCTGCATTCTCTTTGCAAAATTGAGGGGTATTCAAGTCAAAATTAGCCCTTAAGCTGGATGTAGCTGTGTGTAAGGATCAGGCCTTGACTGAAAATAAAACTAAGCTACAAACTATATTCAAACATATACAAAGGCAGCAAATCCAAAATCCTCAGAATTATGCCTACTGAGCATGCCCAGCTACCACATACATTTATTTCACTCTGCCTACAGTTTTTGGAAATGAAATGCAAAATTATATAGTGTATTTCTATAAAGTCTTGGCCTTAATGTCCTAAAGATTTTCTCCTACTGGTCCTGGCCAGTGCTCTCTGTCTTTGCAAAGGTCACTGAACTGCTAAAGTCAGAATATGCCTTGCATCCCTACAGTCTGGGCATTCCTTCCTGCTTCAAAGTTTAGAGATGAGCTGCTTTTGGTCCTGCTCATATTTCAGGCTGGAATAGAGTTTATGGTTTGCTGAGAGGTGGCTGCTGCTGTGTAGCTTGGTGCCTTCCCATGGAAAGTCTGACACTGGCAGAATGAAGAACACTTGATGGTTCTTTTCACTGCTTGTTGCCCACAACAGGGAAGAACAGAGGTGTTGCTAATTGTTGTGGTTGTGGATGTGTAATGTGAAGTTACTAAACATACTGGGATAAAGCAGCAACGTGAATTATTATCTACCAATTTTTTAATTAGCCATACAAATTTTATAGACTGCAATGAAGTTTTAAAAAGACCACAAATTGATTATTTATTCATAGAATGGCTATATTTTGAGGATCTAAAGATGGATAATTACAAAGAAAAATAATTCTGACAAGATTAAACTGAATTTTCTCAGTCTGCCCTAGTTCAGCACATTCTCATGGTGCCTGCTGAAGGAGCTGGCAGCAGGAGGAGTGCTGTGGTGTGACCCTACCCTGTGGCACACCATGCTAAATGTGAGGCTGGGTGCAGGAATGAAGTTTGAGGCTTCCCCCACTTGTGTAGCTCAGCTAGGAAACTGCAATTTGTCATTTTGCTTCCTATACTGTGGCTAGCTGAGGCTTTAACTGCAGTTTATCTCTACAAAAGCAGACTTCTGAATCTCAAATGACATCTCATTTTCCAAATTTAGTGCTCTGATATAAATAAAAGCAAAACTCAGTTATTTTTAATGATGTTCCAATAGTTCTTTCCGAGGAAAGCTCCTGATTTAGAAAGTCAGGAGTGAAAACAGACACAGCCATGCTGTTCCCATAAATGAGACACCAAATAAAAATTTCTAATAATCTGAAGGTTCTTCAGAAACTGATTTCTGTGGAAAGAATAATTGCTTCACTTCTGTTTCCTTTGCTATCATCATCAAAATCATATTAATTGCCATACTTTTTTGAAGCTTAGCTGGTTTCAACATCATCCTAAGTCATGTCTCAATAATAAAACTACTAAGGCATAAACAGGCAATATTTTTTCCTGTTTTCCATTAAGACACTAATTTATTTTCAAATTTTATTTTCTTTTTGTGATTTATGCCTTGAAAGATGTTTTGCTTTCTTATGGATCCAGCTGCTGTGGAGAAAATGTACTATACTTCTGACCCTCATGGTTTTCAAAAGCAGAATAGTATAAATACTGCACAGTGTATTTTGAAAGTGATAAAAGGATCCATTCCTGCCATTACAGCATCATACCAAAAGCTGATTTCAAAAAAAAAAGTCTTAATCAGTGGCACATGCCAAACACAGGCTAAATAAGTAAAAATTCTAAGGAATAATTCAGTGAGAGCAATTAAGTCTATTTAAAAATTAGTTCATTAACCATGAATTAAGCTTATGCTCAGCTCAGGAACATGTAACTGCAACTCTACTGGTTTTACAAAATCTAATAGATAAATTATTCCCTTGTAATCAGATTACTGACAAGGAATACCCTTGATTAAGATTTAATTTTTTTGTTATTTAATAAATTGTGAAGGAATAATTTTGCATTACCTTGATCTTAAAAGAGAGATTCTTGCTTTAGAAGTCAAGTTGAAAAGAATATGATACACAGCTTTATAGAAGTGAAATGTTTTTGTAACTGATGGTGTGAAAAAAAAGTATTTTTCTGTGAGAGAAAACAGCTTCATTTATGAGTAGTAATATGTCAGGAGAGCAGGGGGAAGCACCCAAGGACACTTAAACAGAACACACTTCCAGCCTCCAGCCTCCCTAGAGCTGGAATTCTCTGTTTTGAAGCAGGGAGCTTTGTGTTTGATCGTTTTAACTAATTACTTCCTGTCACAAACTTTATTTATTGTTTATGGACCCATATAAGCTTTTAGCAGAAATAAAATTCTGTGACAAGCTCTGTAGTTGGTTTGGGCAGTTGTTTTGAACCTGATCATTAATTTTGATACTCTCAGTGTTTGCACTGTTAGTGGCAGGGACTATTTTATTTTCCCATTTTTATAACCTGTTAACACAGTCCACTTCTCAAGATTTTTTTTCCCCCCACACTAGAATGACCTTATCTTTGTTTTTCCCTTGAACTTCATTGTAATATGAATAGAATTTTTCCTTGTCTGGAAGGATTGCTGTGCCCCTTGTACCACCTCCCATAAAGTTTATCTATTTATGGTAGTCAGAGCCCAGGCTTTGGATAATGTTGTATAGGTCCAAAAGCAGATGACTGAGACACCAGCAATGCAGGTGGTTTTTGTTTTTTGCCATTTTCTTCTGCAAGTCTTGTGAATCAGACAGGGACTAGAGCTATTTGCTGCATTTTAGACCACCAGATTATGGCAGGTTTTTTTTTTTTTCATTTTTCTTGTTGTGTTTTTAGGTAATTTTTGTTTGTTTTCATTTATTTTTTGTCTTTAATTGTTATAATGCAGTACATGGACCTACCTATTAAAACTCCAGTATGATCTTGGAGGCTGTAACTACAGAAAAAAACCCCAATTAACTACTTTAAAATATTGCTTCCATCAGTTTGGGAAAATTAAATATATATTCTACTTAAGCTTTCTACTTTATAAATTTGGTAATAATTGTGGTGTAACAGGAAAAAGAGCAAAATTTAAGAAAAGCAGCAAGGAGTAATTACAGCTTAACATTTTCAATCTCATCTGTCAGTCATCTATAAGAAATTGCTGCATTCATCCTGAAGTAGCCTGGTAATTAGCTCAGCTGAATTTTAATCCACTTTTATTTCTTAGAGGTAATTTTTAATGTTTTACATATTGCATAATTTATTAGTGGAGTTGCCATCTAACCAAACTGGTGCAGATGCAACAGGCAAGCAGGAAGTGCTGCTATGAGCTCTGAATACATCAAATTCCACATTTCCATTGCCAAGGGAGTCCTTGGGGGATGCACTGAAGTTGCAGGAGGTCATTGCTCAGTTAAATGGGGACACAAATGATACCAAAAAATACTCATGGTAGTGTCCAGACATTTTTCAATTGACTGGCACGGGGGAATGGCTCTCAGCTGAGGCTGACTATTGCAGCAGAGCTGCTAAGGTGCCACCCCAGCACCTTAGGGTGCCTCTGGAACTGACAAACACCAAGAAACAACAACACAAATCCTTTTTTTCACAGGTAACTTTATTAATAATGGTCTCAGATCTGTCGCACCTACCAGGTGCCAGTCTTTTTTCACACTTTGCAAGACTTTCTGAAGAATAAACTAGAAAGGCATAAAGTTAGTTGAAGCTACTAAGACACACATTTGAAGGTGGGTCTGTTTTGGACTTTTGTTGTTTGATTTTTTTTAACAGAATTGCCCATGAATGTGTGTAAAAAGAACTTAAATACACTGAGAAATACAGTAGAAAGGCTATATTTACAGTCAATTATAATGGGCACTGCCAACATATCCAATAACAAAAATAAAACAAAACCTTTTTTTCATGTTTCTATCATGCTTTTTTTCACAGAGATTTTTTTTTAAATATGATTTTGTTTTTTAAAAAATACAATAAGCAAATAATTACATTCTTAATATGAGAACATTATCATACAACATACACCCTTGGCCAATTAATTTGAAAGTGTCTAACAAAACTTGATACTAAATTAATATTCTCCACTTGAAAAATCAAATTGCCACAATCATCTCATTAAAAAAACACCCTTGATCCCCCAAAGTTACGATCTGGGATTTTTATAAAAAAAAGCATCACCCATTTTAAAAAACCAAACAAAACACACAATTTAAAAAAAGCACCTGGTACAGTAACAGGCATTTGGTGAGGAAGCGTAAGTGTAACATTTTCTTAAAAGACATAGAAATGGTTCAAAATACAAGAGTTTTCCTTTAAAACAAAAGTCATGCTGCTCTATGGCTGAATTTGCCTGGTGATCCTGGAATCAAAAAACGGTGAAAAATACAAGTTCTGTTGCTCTTTGTAAAAAACTGTGCAGCAATTGTGCTATTCAAGGCAACAGAGTACATTTCACAGCACTGAGACTGGTCTAGAGAGA